GAGTCTTTCTCAGGAGACAAAAAAATACTGCATGGGAATTTCCAGAAAGAGCTAAGGTTTTTGTCTTTTGCACATTTTTCCAGAAATCAGGTGTACATTTGATCCACATAGTCCAGGAGTGCATGGCCCAACCTTGGTTACACAAGGTGATAGCACCTTTTGGTGCTGTTTTTTAATAGATTAATCACTTTTCATATACAAGGCTGATACAAATGACCCAATTTTGAGGGGGAAATTACAGTAATCCACTGTAAGATTTTGGAGCAACCACTGGGAAACTTGTCACCAGCCCTGGACAGAGAACTGCAAAAAGATGAGTCAGGAAGAAAAAGTGCAGGTAGGGAGACAGAGGACAGTATGTGAATCCTGGGACCAAAAGGTTCTGCAGCAGATTGTAGCGTGGAAGAGTCAACTTTCCAGTGATGGACAGGCCCTGCAGGTTAGTTGAACTTTAGACATCTTTGGCTAATGTGGTAAAGTTTGAGGGACGGAAAGAGGGGAGAACATAAGGCAAAGAGTGGAAAATTTAGATGGATGGTGTAGACAAGCAAATGTCCAGCTATCGGAAGCACAAATAATAAGAGATCAGAAAGAATACATCTTGAAAGAGCACAGAGATTTGGGGAAACACAAAGACTTTTGAACGATGCGACTCAGAGCAGTTTACAGAGCTCTAAGCACACAAAACCCATCCTTGGCTGCAGAAATTCCTAATCTGGAGATGGCTGGGGGCTGGAGAATACTCAGGGGAAAAGCTGTATGTGCTTACCCTGTGTTCATACTTCTCCCCAGGCATTTTGCTTTTGCCACTATTGGAGACAGGAGATAGATGGACCTTTGGCCTAGCTCAGTGTGGTGACTGTCATGTTCTTGTGCCCCTCGTGTTGTGAAAGAGTTGGAGTCCTTGTGGTGAGTCGTTCATTAGCAGAAGCTGTAGGACAAACTGCGCTTAGTACAGCATGTTGCTGAGTCAGGAACAGGAGGGACCTTGCTGGCATTCCTCAGTGCTTTGCGCATTACATACTGAACATCTCATGAAGAGAACACTGTGTATCCCCAAAACACCTGGGCTCTTCACCAAGATGGCTGTACAGAGGTTCAGCAGGTCGCTGCCTGCCCAGGCTTCTGTAGGATGGCAGCACAGCTCTCCATCTCACAGCTGCTGTTGCTGTTTGAGCTGAGCAACTGGGCTGCGTGGCTGCCTAGGGACTTCTCCTGGGGCACTGCCCTCACCCCTGGCCCACTGCAACCCTGGAACCTCCTCACTTTGGGCTGTCAGCCACAGCGTTCTTGTGAGACTGCTCTTGTCTCTGGGGGCAGGGAGACCTTGGTGGAGCTGTTGTTCCTCTCCCTTGGCTCGCATCTCAGTGGCTGGCGGCATCTTGCTGAGCCCCTGCTCCAGCCGTTCTGGCTGCCTCACTCCTCCCTGCTTCCTTGGGCTTGGTCTTCATGACTCTCTTGAGGCTGTAATTATCTCCCATGAGTAGTGCCGGAGTTATCCTGTTTTGTCTATCAGGAGGGATCTCAATTTTTCCAAGAATACTCTGGCACTTTTAAAAAATAATTGTCTCCTGAGGAGGTAACAATACTGCTCACCTCCTTTCTGCTTTTCCTCAGAGAAAGGCTCTGTTACCATCTGTTAACAAGTAGGAATAAGGGGAATCTGTGTCCAGAGCAATTGAGAGGGCAAGGAGGGCAGAGCAGCATTTGTACACATATACAGTAATTTCTGCTTGGTGTGTGTATACATGTGCACGTGAGTGACATTTATCAACAGAACATTTTTTCTAAGGTCAATACATTTCTCTGCTTGGGAGAAACAAGCCTTGCCAATAGCTGGATTCAATTCATAAGAAACTAGGTGGAAATAATGATGAGGAAATGAGAAAAATAAGCTTTTGGTGAAATAATTAATGACTGGTTGTGACACAATCTCACAGCAGCAATCCAAGGCTCAGGGAGATCAGAGGAGCCCATCCGCTGCCAGACAATGCTTACCATGCAAAGCCAAGTAGCCTCCTGTTTGCAATTTAAAATCATAACCATATACATGGACTGCAGTTGGTGGCGGCTTGTTTGTTTTAAGTTCTCCTAACAAAGTAACAGCACTCCCTTCATCTCATCTGTAGGAGGGGAGACCAGTGGGTTCCAAGCAGCTTGTAGCGTGTAAGACAGGTCCATCTCCAAGCAGCTACAGCCAGGAGATGAATGTTTCAACATGTGTGAATTATTCTATTGCCACCAAACTGAACAGAGCTCAGCCGCTCACAGATCTGGTCCAAAAAACTGAAACCAGTGATTCTCAGCTCTGGATGCCTGCAGAAGGATGGGATTTTGACTGTAAAAGGTGCAAAGGAAAGGCAAAACCCTTTCTCAGCAGGCTTGCATGTGATTTAATGGAGTCCTCACCCCCTTAGCAATATCTGTTTATGGACCCACAAGTGGATTAAGTAGAAAAGGCCAAGAGCTGTCACATGGAGCGGTGGGTGAGCTGGTGGGGGTGGGTTGGCTTGGTTCAGGAGTCATCTTTTAAATAAATCTCCCTGTTGTCCTTCTCCCCCAGTTCTGCTGCACAGTAACGTGGTCTATGCTGAGCAAACTGGATTGCTCTGCCTGAAACCAGGTGCTCCAAATAGGCTCTGACTGCCAGTGGGTGACTTCAGTGCACACAGCCAGGTACAGCTGGTCTGACACCCCCAAAATTACAATGCTGTGAATACACGGATTCTCACACCATGCATTTCATATCATTCTGCTCTGCAGAGCATTACTGCCAGGGCTAGCAGAGCTGTGCCACCATCCTTTGCTCTGCTCCTAGGAGGAGGTGAGCAGTTGGCTGGGCACAGAGCTTCCCTGCCTGGACTGCTCGGCACTGCTGCTGTCCCGAGCAGATGGGGTGAGAGGCAGGAGGGGAGGCAGCCCACTCCTGATCGCTTCCAGAGGTCCTGTTTTCAGCTTGGTCGAGGCACTGCTGAGTCATTTTCATGCAGAATGAGTTATGGCTGTGTTTAAAACCTCTCTATTATCCTTCAGTAATCCGGAGCTCAATCTTGCGTTCTAATGCTGTCCTTCTAAAGTGCAGATTTATATGTAAAACACTTTGCACTTCGGTTTCCTCCTAAATAATAACTAACGTTTTTCTTCTGAAGGCTTTATAACATTAGCTAACTAGTCCTGACAACACCCTGGTTTTCCACATGCACAGCAGAAATCTTGGATGAGCTTCTTAAGGCTGGTGTTTTCAATTCTCATGGTTTTATTGTGAGTCTGGGGTGGGCTTTTTCTTCAAGTCTCAGCTCCTGGAAGCACATGATCACATGACTAGCTCACTTTTTTTTTTTTTTTTTTTTTTTTTAAAAAAAAATTTCTAATTCTTCAGTTGCAGGGAAAAGCCTGAAAATGTTATCCAAATGAACTGCAAGGCTCAGAAACCAGATGCCAAATGATGAGGAGCCAAACTGGATTGCCATTTTTGAATCTCTGAAGTTTTAAGGCAATCTGGGTCTTTGCTCATGTTTTCAGAGAACAGAGGAGCTTGGCATTAAATAAAGCTTCTCTTTACAAAGAGGTGAAGGAAAATAAGAACTTCAGGGATGCTAATATTCTCTGTTGGCCATCTCCTCCATTTGCTTTCTGATTCTTATCCTGCATCTGCTTAGCTTTCCACATGGTGACCTGTCACGTTCCTCACAGTGGTAAAGAAAGTGGTAGTGGTAAAGAAAAGCACACACATAAATCTTTGCTGGAATGGAGCAAGTTTTAAATCAAATCAAATTTTCACGAGCAAATAAGATCAAGGTTTTAAACTCTTCCATCTGTGACTGTGCACTCGTAGGGTGCAACGTGCCCTGGGCCTGGGCAGGCAGTTTGTGACACTCAGTGCTACTGTAACACAGCAACCATTGCTGCTGCAGCTACTACCAATAAAACAGATCTGTTAATGTTGTGATTGCGATCATCTGCTTAGAAAGGTGCATTAAAGCTTCTGGTAGGTTCTTCTTGCACTGTGGTGCTGCAAACCAGCCATTTCCACATTGTAAAAGGAACTGGATGGCAGAAAGTGATAAACATTACTGATTTTGTGTTTCTTTTACTTCCTTATTGCTTCTGCAGTGACCCATTTAACTTCTGCCATTATTTCCCACTGACGGTGTGCTGTGTCAACCTGCAGCTGGCTGCCTGTGGGGCTGCATTCAGGTTTTTCTCACTGCATTCTCAGTCCTGTATAATCCTTGCTGCTGTAAAAGTGCTGCTGCTTTTTCATGTATACATTTTGTGTGAGGGGAATCCAATACTATTTTAATTCCTCTCTGTGTGTTTATCCTTTAGCTATGAGAAAATCTCTGCTAGATTTTAAAGTCCAGAACTTCCCCGAAGGGAATATTTCCCAGCTTGCTAGATCTTAGTGATACAAGATCGTTGTGATATTAATTATAAAGCATGCTTTTCTTCATTTTCTTCTGTGGCATCTAGACAAATATTTCTGTGGCTCCCTGCACAAATCCCTTGTCCCTCCAAGCTGGAGAGCTGCCTCTCTCTCACTTCTTCTCAGGCTTACAATATCTTCTTCTCCTTTCTAGTGTTTCGGCCACAATTGCTGCTTTTTAAACCATTCAGCCTCTTTGCTCCCATGTTTACATACTGAATTGAGGGAAAAAAAAAAAAAAAAAGAAGTATTTGAGGTGGAATCACAAGCAGCAGTGGTTTCTGCCTTGTGGTGTGCATTAATACGTTACCGCACCTTCCCATGCCGCCCTGCCAGCAGCAGCCGCAGAGGAGCGCTTGGTGCTGGCCGCATGGAGCTCTGCCATGTTGTAAGAGCTGATGGGAGGGCCAATTGTTTGTTTCAAGTGTTGACCACAAACTCACTTAGACAGGTTTTGTCTAGGAATCTAGCGATTCCTGTATTACAGTCTTCCTGGGACCAATTCTCTGCCCACTTCCCTTAGAATAAATCTGCGCAATGGTGTTAATTTTGCAAATCTTTATTTTTCTTTCAGTTTGGCATGTTCGAAGGCAGATGACCCTGGTTTACATTTGCTCGTGTCAAAGGCACTGCATGCTACAGACAGAGCAGACCGAAACCAACAGAGTGCTTCACAGATAGTGATGGAGGGCGAAAATGCAAAAGAACAACTGCAGCATCTAAAGGGAAGTTTTCCAAGCACGGGAGAAGGGGCATACTGGAACAAGAAGAGCCTTCGTGAGTAAAAGTTAATGATTCTAAAATGGATGTACTTTACTGAGGAAAGCAACTAAGACTTTAGGTAATGAATTTGCTGGTGAATTGCTATCAGATATGTGAGAACTGCTGCATGGACATACTTGGCAGGGAGCTGACTACCTGATAAACCCTTTCCTCTCCACTTCCAAGTGAAACATGTTTTCCCCTTCCAGAAGGGCAAGAGCTGAGCTGAGCAGTGGCAGCAGTACAGGTACCCGGGGTGTGATGGGGCAGTGCCACGGCAAAGCTGGGCTCTGAGCATGAAGCATGCTGCCACAGTTCTTGGGCAATACAATCAAGGAGGGAGTATATTAATATTGGGATCGTTTAACATTGAAATTAAGTATCTAATCAGATGGGCACATTTTTCACACACTTTCCAGAATGGAAGGAAAGATGGGGTACTACGTCAAAAGGCTGTGGTTACATCACAGGTGCCCATAACAAATTTATGAACTTCTGTGTGTCATGATGAATTTATCTGCATCAGATGACATCTCATTTTGTATGAGCATGTCGTATGGTCAGTGCGTATGGTCAGTAAAGGATATGCAGGAGTTTGAAAGATAAGTGGATGGAAATATTATTCTCCGAATCCAAACAAGTCTCTCTAGAAGAAAATTTGAAAGGGAAGTGTAAGCTGAAGACAAGTCTACTTGAATTCTGGCAGTCTGTTAGATCTTAATTGCCTATATAAAATGGGAGATAGAGGCACTTCTGCATCTCAGCAAGGTTTCTAAAGAGAACTGCATTAAGAGATGCATGGGCAGCTCAGCAGAGGAGGTGGTTTGTATACAGAAGGTGATCAGACGGCTCAACAGGATGCAATGGCAGAAAATATCTTGCTGAAGTGAGGCGTGGGAAAGGGACAGCTATGGTACCAATCCAACTAGTAGGGCTTCTCTGTGGCCTTCCTTGATAGATTTACCATGCCGTTCTGGTTTGTTCTCCCTTTTGTAGCTAGCTCTTCAGATGGCGCATCCTGTTGTGCGTGATTTAACACACACCTTACAATAAAGCAACTCAAGGTGGATTAAAAGATTTATGTTGCTGATACTGCAACAAATATGTCAAGTTCCAAATGGTCTCTCAATGACTTCCTGTGTTATGCTGAGATAGTTGGTTGGAGGCAACTTGGTGAAAGACAAGGCCAGCCTACAGTCATATCTAGGCATGAGTCTGATCTGCCTTTCATGCACTTTAATATTTATTGCAGAGACAATGTGTTTCACTCACAGCTTTGCTCCTCTGACAACTATTCATGCAATTTAAATAAGCTGCACTCCAATGTTTGGACATTGCCCTGCTTTCTACTTGTTTGTTTAGTGAAACTGCCGTGTAACTGCCCCAGCAGAGTCCAGAGTTATAAACAAACTTTGACTGCAAATGTGTGTTTAGTTCAGTTTTCACCTTGACGCAGAGCCTTTGTTTTCTGGAGGAGCAGAGACACTCTCCAGAGCACATCAGCACAGCGCTGAGCACACACCAAGAACAGCAAGCACAAACTCCCTTGCAGTAAAACATGGCTAGAGAAGGGCAGCAAACACAAACATGGCATGCAGGGTTTGTTTTTACTAGAGTGCATCATTAACTTTACTGTGTTAATTCATATAGGTATTAAACTTCTTCATACTTTTGTGATAAAGCTGCTGTGAACAGCCTAAAATCTCATTTATGTCATTCTAAATCTGAAGTAACTGTCCTGATAATAGCATTTGGAGTAGATCTCCATCAAAGTCTCTAATAATTAATTTGTCCTAATGTGGGTTTTTGATCTTTCCATGTGCAGGTGCAAATCTGAATGTTTGTAATATCTGGTTTTTTTTTTTAGTTTTATTTTGGGGCAGCAGTGTTTGCTGAGGCTATAAATATTTAAATCCATTAGTTATCCTAGAACATAACCCTGTTCTATTAAATATTTTAATCTGAATACACAGCATCTACCTTGAAAATGTAATACAAAGCTGTTCAAGACAGTCCAACAAAGGTAGGACAAAAACATAATTATGAGGTCCGTTCTGTGATCTATGTGACAGCTATGACTGAATGACTAATAGCACTACCAGGAAACAGCCACCATCAATTCTGCAAAGTTAGCAGTGTCTTTCAAAAATAGGTTTTTCAGGAATGTGTGCAGGCTTCTTGTGTAGTGACTTGGGGAAGTTCTCAGTGGTACCACTACCTACTTGGAAAAATAGGCAGATCCTGAAAATGGTATGTTTGCACCACTGAATTCATTCAGAGACTTTTTTTCCTAAAGGGATTCCCTGCAGGGGAGCTATTATACATGTTCTAGCCTGAAACTTGAGCTGGCCAGAGAATGGAAATTGTGTTTCACAGACAATTTTGAGATTTTGAAATTTGTTTTCATTCCAATTCAGAACAAAACCTCAAAATGTTGAAATTCTCCACAAAGGAAAATTCCACAAAAATAAATAGTTTTGGCTTATTTGGATTATTACAACTTTTAAAAATGCATATATTATGTAAAATCAAAAATCTAAATGCTTTATTCCAATAATTGTTGGCGTATCTTCCTCCAAATGCTCTGGGTAACAGTAATAATTCCTCAAAGCGTTGTGATTCTGACAGAAATACAATTTTGAAGGAAAGATGCTCCATTAATTTCCTGTCTGAAGTCCATTAGACTTCCTATTGCCGTGGTATCCAGACGTCTTGCACTACAAGTGTAAAGCAAAAGCTCTGCAAATATTCTAGCTCCAGAACCATGATCTACAGTATGCCGCATGTGGGCTTCTCGTTACGTGTTTGTGCTGTGGTAAGGACCAGAAAGTCCCCACTTATGTGAGAGAAGAACTCAGTTTCTGAGGAGAGCTCTGAAGCCATGGGACAGTTGACATGAAGCTGCTCTTGATGCCACCAGGCCCCTGGCACTAGAAGTCTTCTCCCTGGCAGCAGAGCAAAGAAACCAGCTGCTCAGTGGCATCAGCACTGGCTCTTTCCATTGAATGGAAATGACCCACATGAGGAATTGAGCTCCTTGTCAGTCCCTAGCGGGGCAAAGTCCATGGTGAAGAGATTCTAGGATTCTTTAACAAATACCAGTGTCAATAGCCTCTATCCCAGAGCTCAAAGGAGGCACTAGTGATGTGCTTTCAATGTCTGTGCTGAATTTTGGAACGTTTTTATTGTTCCAGTGTTATCTGAAGAGAACTGTGTTTCAGTTTCCATCCATGCCCAAGTAGAAGCTATTTCTTGCATTTTTATTCTATGCTGTTTTTCTTTGTGATTTCTTTTGGCTTTGGTGAGTTAATTGATAACTGCAGGCTTGGTGCTGTGAGGTGCTGGACATGCACAGCATGTGAAAAAGGTGCTTCTTTCTGGGGGTGATGTCAGGGACTCAGTCTCTTACCCTGCTCAGGGAAACAAAGTTGTGAGTACATTCCTAGGGATAACAGATGTGATACTTGCCATCCCACTTTGATTACCTGTATCTTGCCTCATCTTGCTGTTTTTCAATTGGTCAGGGAGCCCCACAACCCATGTGCTGACCCAGATTTGGGCCAGGCATCCAGCCTGCCTTATGGAAACCATGCCAAGCAATTATTTATGGTTATTCCTTTAGAGCCTTATGTCTGGCAGGGTAAATTGTCAGTATGCATCCAGAATCCTTGTCTATGTTAATAATGCAGATCAATAGGCCTTTTCCACCATGAGTGACAGGAAGATGTGTCTCCAGCTGAAGATTTCCCAAGGAAGAGTTTCAGATAATATGATAAATAATGGCTGGAGTATGATATGTCAGCATAGCAGCCAGGGATTGAGGAGCCATGAGGACCAAACCGCATTCAGCGCAGAGGCGGTGAAGGCAAATGCCCACCCGTACTGTCTCCTATCCCTCCTTAGGGGCACAGAATAAGGGAAAGGGACTAAAAGGCTTTGTGAATGCTCTTGCCTCTTTGCTTCTGAGAATCAAAACATACTTGGTGTGTGTCACAAGCAATGACAGTGGCAGGCGATGAGGTTATTGGATGGCAAACCTGGTCATGCAGGTCTAGTGAGATTTTTGCCCTGTGTGCTGCACTGAGGAGGGACAGTGTTTGGGTCCCTGTTGTAGGTACACAAAGCCAGAATGTTGTCTACAAGTGGCACATTTGGGCTCAGTATAATTCTAGAATATGTTTTTCTCTTTGGGATATTTCTGAACTGCAGTCAGCATGCTCCCCACTAGAAAGTGACATGTAGGAGCCACCCTCTGTTGTTGAAAAGTTGATATAATGTGTGTACAATATTATGGTCACCAAAATATGTCTAAACCTAATTGGTTGCATGTGGGATAGATTGCTCTAATATAAAGAACTGAATGCACTGAAGACCTGCCAGAGGTTGCACAAAAAAAAATCAAAGAAAATCAGATGTAAGGCCAAATGTAGCTTTAGCAACTGCTGTTGTAGCACTTCAGTGGAAGGGCTCCCCCAGTGCAGAACTGTAGCTGGGAGCTATCAGTGGAGCATGGAGATGGGCTTTGGCAGGGCCTGCACTCATAGCCATGTCTATCCTCTGGTGGCAACATGGTGGTCTGGGCAGCTGCATGGTTTCGTTTTCCGACAGAGCCAACAATTCAGTGCAAGAGCTCAAAATGTTTCAGTTCTTTGGGAACTAAAAATTTCTCTTGAGAAATTAATGCATTTCATGTCTTAAGCCATTGTCAGAAACTCTACAAAAGCATCCAGAAAAAGGCACCAACCTTCCTGGTAATGCTGCAGCCCTTCAGCTTTAACAAGGACTAACCACTGCAGAGTTTGTACCATCACTTTGTGCCCTATACCACAGCTCCAGTTTCCTCCACAGCAGGAATTCACTGTATTACCAAAAGGAGCCATTGCAGCGCTTGTTCCAACCTAGCCCCCTGGTGATGAGCCCTCACAGCCTTGCACGGACTCTCACTTACTCCTACAGCCTGCTAAGCTGTAATTGCATGTCACAGTCCCACTGTCCTGCTCCATCAGGTGCAGCCCTGTTTAGGGAGCAGACCTAAGAGAAAGCCTCTGGAATATTTCATTAATGTGAGACATATTTCTAAGGCACATAAATGCCGTGAACTTCTTTTTCTATCAGTTAGTTGTGTCATCTGACCCTGTATCATCTCAAGCATGAAAAACAGCTCTGATGGTCAGTGTTGAGAAGCAGTGAGTGTTGCTGAAGATGGAGCAAGGACAGCTTCAGTGAAGAACTGCCATGGAGTGAGAGAAAAGCTTCATCCCAAGCTGAGGGCAGTGCCAAGAGAAACTGCCCAGCTGTGTTACCTGGCCAAGGATTGATACAACACCAGGAAGCACTTCTGAGGCTCAACCTATTCCATGCAATATGCAAGATGGGGCTCATTAAACAACACAGGATGTTGCCATTGGGCACACAGAAGGCAAAGGATCAACTTCCACACTTGGACTTGGCCTCCATTTAAATTCTTCCAGAGAAAGCTATGCTGGTCCATAGCTATTAAAGCTAAAGAAAGGCAGTACAGCTCTAAGCAATGTAGTTATACTGGCAAGGAGCCATGTGTAAACAATCAAATCTCCTCCCTTCTGTTGTGCACCCACCAGCAGAGCAGTGATTGTCATTCAGGAGCACCCCCCAATTTGGTACCTTCAGGCTCACTGAAGTGTCCCCAGCTGGGGCAAGCAGAGAAGGACTGCACTGGGAAGCTGGAGCAACATAGGGTGCTTTGAGGAGCCTGCCTGTGTCCCTGCCTTGCCAGCAGGCACCATAAGGGCTGCCAGAAAGCAAGTGCAAGGAACAAAGGTAGAACTTTGCAAAACATCAGGTTTGATCTGCAACTGATTCCCAATAGCTTTCAATGGCACCTGTGTGAAGGGCTCTGGCCCTGGATGGTGTAGGGCTGGTCTTCCCTCATGGGATCCAGATGAATGAGCTTCTCTTATTACATGTACAAGGAACTCTTGAGATATGCCTAAACACAAGCCCTGTAATTATGGTGCATGTGTTAGCAAATTAGACCAAACTGAGCCAAAGGCCTTACCAAGGTATTGGGTGACACTGTGCTACACGCTTGCTGGCTGAAGCTGCCCCGTTGGAGAGGACACGAGGGCAGCTGTCTGTCCATGTAGCTTTTATCCCTGCCCATAGCCTAAGGGGATAATGTGCTGACGGACTGAGGGCCCTTGGCCACACCACTAGCTGAATTTATGAGCATATTTAAAGCCTTTTATTTTCTCAAACAGCAGTGTGTTCATACACCTGTACAACAGCTTTGTCTCTTGGCACTCACTAGCCTGCAGCAACTCACTGAGAGCTGCTGGGCTTCTGGCAGACACAGGGCCTGGTGCTGGCACTCCAAAAATTCCTCTTCAGTTTGTTTTTGTTGTCTTTGCAGAGTGAGCCACCTAAAAGTCACCTTCTGAAGGGCTCTGTGTTAAAACCCACCAAACACTGCATGGCTGAGCGGTGACTCAGAGCGGTGCTTCACTCCCATGAGGACAGCAGAGCTCTGACCCATGCCTGGCTCTGGCTGCATGTTGGGCACACGCTGGTGCCTCCAAAGTACTGAGAGTCCATGACAAACAGAAGCTGTGAATTAGTCAGACCTTTTTTTAATTAGCATTTCATTAATTAGTACTAATTTAGCAAACGAGTGCCCTGATCAGCTTGGTTAGAGCAGGAACAGAGGGGAAGATACGGGATATCAAAGCTCTGACCAGAGCAAAGCCTCAGCCCTGCAGGGACACACAGGGCTCTAGCAGGCACAGCTCCCCTTAACCACATCACCTCCCCATGCCCACCATCTTTCACCCAGTCAATGTCCCCACTTTCATCACAAACCCTTATTGCAACCGAGCGGTGCCTCACTGACGCTGTCTCTGCTGCAAAGTCCAGTTGAACAAAGACATTTCCAGTGGCAGCAGTGGCGCTAAGGAAGCAGCAATCGTATCTATTGTCCAATTGCTGCTTTTTTTTGAAGCAAGGATGACTCCTTGACATCAGGCATATGGAGTCTGCCCGTTAATAGTAGTTTAAAGTGGTCAAGAGGTTACGGCAGTAAGGAATGTTAGTAAAAATGTCTCTGTGGAGTTTAAACAACCAGTATTTTAGGCAGGGCTTGGTGGGTTACTGTCCCTGCACAAACAACTAGAATGTGAGAGTCTGGGCTGGGAAATACTTAAACTGTTTGGAAAAACTTGTTTTGTGCAGCTTGAGAGTGTCCCTGGAGGCTGTGGCCCGATGCCATGACTCCTGGTAAAGGCTGGGCTGCTGTAACAATGAAGCTTTTATGGGGAAGCTGGAGTACAATCAGAAACTTTTTAGTCCCAGGGGATTATGGGGAGGGGAGTTCCTGGGTTCAAGATGTCTGGCACATTATGCACATTTCCACCAGGATTTGGGGGTGTTCTATGGCATGCAAGGTATGCAAATTGCTAAATGTGTTTTCAATTTTGCTGTGTTGTGCTGTCTTTGTTGGGTGAGCATTTTTTCACCAGTGTAGCCTGAAGACAGGATGGGTTCATAGCACGAGTGGAAAAGCGTTGTTGTCTCACAAGCAGTACTGACCTATCAAGAGCTCATTATATTTTCATCCTCCAGCAGGCTCCTAGCTGGGCGGCTCCAGATTATTCACTGGGTAATCTTCCTCCAGTAAGAAGTGTCCTGAACTGAGAGGCATCTTTGATCAACCACTCCTTACCAAAGTGATCAAAACTGTGCGTAGAAACTGTCTTGTTCCTCATTGCTATTACTTAACCTCGATCATTTGCATGCTCTGTATGGCAGATGTCAGCAAGAGGTCTAGCAACTTGCCAGACTCCACTCAGTCAGCATTACAGTGTCACTTCAGACCTTCTTCGAAGGCATCACAACACCGCTAATTAATTAGAGGGCTTTGTTACAGAAGGGAAGGCATTTCCTTATGGAGAGAGGCTTCTCTTACCAGTGGTGTTTGCAGGAAGGCGCAGGGCAGGATGGTCCTAGTGAAGGAGAAGATAAGGGACTGTTCCTGAGGGCAGTTAGCACTGCCACCATGCATCCATGCAGGTATCTGGGAGGTCAAACCCTGATCCCGTGCCTGCTGAAATCAATGACAGGATTTCTGCAGACCGTTGAAGGGACCATCGAAAGGCTGAGGAACAGCTAACAGCCCAGCCTGACACGAACAATTTGTACTGCAGTATCCACATGTGCCACACACTGGGCTGGACAGATCCTGAGCTCTGCGTGGGTGAGGGGAAAGGGCCTCACACGATCAGGGCCTGGTGGTTGACAGCCTGGTGGTCAGTCTATTTTTCTTAGATGACAAAAACATAGTTACCAAGCTGAGACTGCCCAGAGGTGCTCAGGCTTGGTGGGTTTTATTGCTGGAGCCTCAAGGAAGTAGCCCAGTGATGAGGGGTCTCCCTGCTTTGTCCCCCATTTTGTGCATCCTCTCCCTTTGCTTGCTGAGGTTTCACCTCAGGCCTGCCTCCAGTTTGGAAACACTGAATAGCTCTTAATGACAGCAGCACAAACAAAACCCTATAAAGACAGGATTTGTGATTTATGTGGGGTTAATTACCACAACAAGTATGTTTATTCAATTCTCTAATAAATCCTAAGGACAGAAACAAGTACTAGCTTGACCAGATTCATCTTGTGCATACATTTCTTCTGTCACTATTTTTGCAAATCTGTACGAGCAGGATAGATAAAGAGACAAAATATCTCCCATCATGTAGGTACTAGCCTGTAGCCCATGTATGCTCTTCAGCCTGCCAATGGCATCAACATTTACTTCAGATCTTCTTGAGGAAAATAGGCTATTTTGTGACTTCTGCAGTCTTTTTTTTTTTTTAAAGGAAACAAGTGGATCAGAAATGAACATTAACTACAGCAGTGTGATCTATTGCTCTGACACCTACTTGCCACAGGAGGAAGGTAAGGTCTCCGTTTGTCTCTGCTAAAGGAATGTGATATTTCTAACATGAGGTTAGAAGGCTGCAGTGACAGGAGCTGGGGCATGCCCAGTTCCTGCGGTGAGAAGCTGTGCTTCAGTGAGGGCACTCCATAGCCCATCACTCCTCACTAACAAAATGACTTGGTTCCATCAATCTGATTTACAGGAGAGGGAACTGATGTGGAGAAATGAGCAGTGCCATTGGGAACGTGTGTTTTTAAGTGATAGATCACCGAGTGACTTCATGTAGACCAATGTTACTCAATACTGTCCCATTTGATTGTGTTCTGAGATACGTAGGTTGCAACGTTTTCTTGAACTGCTGATTCTGCTTTAGCCATCTTCCACGTTGACAGTGTCCGTGTCCGTGTTGGGCTCACTGCAGTCCCTGATTTGCTAGAGAAGTAGTTGCCATGGCTCAGCGCTGTGCCAGACGGGGCCCCCGCCGCTCTGAGGAATTTGTGTCAGATAGAACATTTCGTACAATGCAGAAGGTTCTGTCACCTTGATTCGAAGGAAGTTGTTTGTGTTAATGCTTAAAGGTAACGTGAGACAAGGCGAGCTCTTTACTTTGGAACACGCGCTGAGCCATTGATGTACGCAGTACAGTAAATATAACAAAGAGCGCACTGTGGTATTTACACCCACCGCAAACACGTTTGCAAAATAGGATTATTTACAATCCAATGAAATAGTACTGCTTTTAAGGCAGAAACCCTGTGTGTTCAGTGAAGTGTCCTCCTCAGCTTTTCTTGCCGTTTATCGACCCAACACATTCCTCCCCATTTTTTTTTTAATGCCTTCCATTAATAGTTAAGAAAAACCTAGGGAAAACAAACACTCTTTTCCTGATTGTTTATTCACCAGTCTCTTAGGAACCATAATTACGTCTCCCAGGAATTGTGTGTTTTATCATACTGTATATCTTAAAGAGCCACTTTAGGTAAAATAACAAGGAGTGCCTTATGAAGGAAAATTGGATTCGTTTTAAGACTTTTTTAACCCTCCAAAGAATGGCTCTTTGTTTACTTCTTTAGTGCATGTGGCAACTTGCCCAAGTAAATACTATGCTGCATAAATACCAGAGATTGGTATTTATGATATTACATAAACATACTCTGAATAATGACTCATTGTTGCGATGAAGACGAATGCAAGCAATATACATCGCAGTCAGTGCGTTATTTCTTGTCACTTTATTAAGTGACACTGAGCATTGTAGGACAAAATGACAGTGATTGGAGAGGAGAAGTCTGATTGCATTATTTACCAGATCTGAGTTTACAAAACAAAAGAGAAAACAGCCAAAACAGGAAGGTTATGAGGATAACATAGCTGATTAATTATCAATGTGCAGGATAAGTAGTTAGGTGCATGCTGGGGTTGAATGGAAAAAGATTTATTGCTCTTTGAATTGAAAACTCATGCAGTGCGTTTATTCCACTGTCCCAACAGGCAGCTGAGCCCTCAGGTTCATCATCCTACCTGTGGTGATGCTCATGTCCACTTGTGACAATAGTTATTTCCCTTATGGAGCCGCTCTTTTGGTGGCTTTGTTTCTCAGAGCCTCGGTCTGTCCAGTTAGAGTTTTGTTACACCTTTACTGCACTCCAGAAAAATCATGTGAGGGTTTGTGTGAAGGGAAAATGTGGCACACTTTGTGGTGCTGCCAAGTGATGGAACTCAGATCTGAGAAATCAAAATCCCAAAGGGAAGGTGCATATGCCGAAACCTCTATTTAAAGCCAGCAGGGTGTTACCAACTTACTTATTTTTAAAGCCCATGGTTATAGCCTATATGCTGCTGTCCAAACAGCGAAAACAGCGGACACTCAAATTCTCAAAGGATCACTGAACCATCCCTTTAAAAATGATGATGAAAATTATCACCCATAGTAATGGACTAGCCTGAAAAATGTGATTTTTTGGAAATGTTACTCTTTCCCTGAAGCAGCCCTTCAGAAACAGCAGAGAAATCTTCAAAGTGGGAGGGTGATCCTCATAATATATGGAGGAGTGGGATGCTCAGCTGTGGGAGCACTCTCCTCCATGACTGCAGGCCTGCATGCTGTGGTTGAGGTGAGGCTTTTGGTGTTTGATGGGGTTTATCACCAGCAGAAGAAATTTGTTCCTAGGTGTGAATAAAGGAGTACCTATATTTTCCTAAGTGAACATCTTTCACGCTTGCGTGCTCAAGAAGATAGCAGTGGATGGGGCCAACAACCTCTGCAAAGTGCCTGGGCTTATGGAAACCACTGCTTTACTGCATGGTCAGCAGCTGTTTATTGTGGTTATTAAACTGTGTCTTTTTCCTTTGATTGTAACTATTTCCTTCCTGGTTTTACTTCTTTAGTCAAAACCCACTCTGTGTAAGGAGAACTGTGTTTTGATGTACTCGGGTGCCATGTGCTGATCCATCCCATGTGCAAGGTTGAACTGAACAAATGTTGACTTTTCTCCCTTGTGCTTCACATACTTTGTACAGGTTAGGAGGGAACACAGGGGACAGGAGAACAGAAGTCTTCTGGTCTGCAAAGACGAACGATGTCACCTGGTCCAGAATAAAGCAAGCTCAGCTAGCTCTACCAGCAAGCTTAGGAATGACAGTGATGATCTATCTGTGTGCCATCCTGGATAACACAAAATTTGTGCCTAAACCCTAATAGACAACACCTCTAAAGACTGCATGTCCAAGTAGAAAGGAGCGAGATACCTCCCACGTATGTCCTTATTTTCCCAGAAGAAAACAGAGTTGTAATGTATATTAGCAAAGTTGAGAGGACAGGAACTGCGGTCAAACATCAAATTCAGCCACAATTCTATTTCTTCTTCATACTATTATTAAATCACACTGCCCAAAGCCTCCACATCTGTTGTGCTTGGTGCTCTTCAAACACAGGATATCATGCTTAGGCATCACTCCTTTATTTGGATTTGAAGCCATGCCTCACCGCTGTTTGTGTCAAAACAGTTACCTGTGCCAGGCGGCCTTAATCTGTATTCTTACCTCGCATTGTCTGGGGTCTGCTGCTCTGTCTTTCTGGGAGCCTGCGATATAAGATGACAAATTCTGGACAGCACTGAGGCCAGATAACATGCAAGCTCCATCCCAGCCCCACAGAAGTCAGTGGGAAAGCTAGATGGACAGCTGTGGTTTTGACTCAGGCCCAGAGATACTGGAAAATAACAAAGGGGACAGAAGGAAAGAGCTTGGTCAGCTTTCAGGGTTATTCCTCATTTCTTTTAAAAAGAATAAATACATGTTTTTTGTTATGACTTTCTCAGAATAAGCTTGGTGCTGTCAGCTAGCCATGTCTCAGCAATGTGCTTGCATGATGAAGGCAAAGCAATTCTGAGCTTACAGGCTTAACATCCTTTTTCGGTACAGTTCATTGCAAAGAAACCTGAGTAATGCATCTTCCCTCTGAAATGCTTGTCTGCTTTGCATAGAGAGCATTCACACACTTTGCATAAGCTTGAGGATCACACTGACAAAGAATGATAGCACTGCTTAAGTAGTTAATTTGGTTATTTATTCATTTAAGTGTATGTGAATCAAGACATTCTTTCTGTGATCTGAAGTGACTGCCAAACCTCTGATTAGTTTGTAGCTTTTACTGTGTCGTTTCATTCTTTTGTTACATAGGATGGATGCAGACTTAATTCCACTGGCAAACACTTTGAAAAGGGCAGCCTCTGTAACACCTCCCAAAGAAGAAAAGACAGAGACAGACTGCATGTCATTCCTTCATTCCTGCCTGCCCATATCAGCACTCACCGTGTCTAGAGAAATGCACAAGAATCACACAGTTCTAGGCAAAAAATGCATTTATGTGAGCACTTGTTCTTCTGTGCAGAACAAAGTACATCTGCCCTGCAGCTTTCCTGAGGGGTAAGAATGGCTCAGAGTAAGGATTCTATACTCCACTGTTAATATTTGTCAAATGCTGTAAGATTCTCAAGTTCAAGTGATGTATGGACCACACCCACAAATGCATTATGTTGAGACGCACATCTATAGATCTGTGCAGACAGAAAAAAAATGCAGATTGACCTCACTGAACTTTGTACAGTTCTGGACTGATGTTAAACTTTGTTAAACTTCAAAATCTTGTTTTAATTCTTCAGGTCAGTGACCCAGCAGCGAGGCACGCTGTGCCAGCACCAGAGAGTCACCAGAGGAGCTGTGAACTGCCCCAGAAAGAAAGCGGTGGTGCAAGGTACTGTTGGTAAGGAGATGGCACTCAGGCTGGGAAGCATGCATGTTTGAAACTTGGCCCAAATATGCTCCTTTACCTGAACACACGGGAACTACATCCTTCTCGTCCTCTGTTTTAGGAGTTGAAAAGCAGGAGTGTCCCCTGTCCTGCCATCCTCTGCCTGGGGGCAAAGGAGGGCTGAGGAGACACTGGTCAGCATTCAGGTTTTGTACATGGCTTCATGCAGTACAAACACGTCCATGTTCATTTCTACCCTGTTCAAGCTGGTGTCTCCATCCCACAGTGTGGGGCCCGCCTTGATCCCCGCAGGCTGCTGGGTTCAGTTACATCTCTGCAGTCTCTTTTCTCTTTGTCACATCCTTTACTTTCAGCCAAGTATCTACCTGCATGTAGGGTCAAGGGGTCTTAGAATACGGGTGAAAGCAAAATGAACAAGATAAGTTCCATGAGGAAGGACAGGCTGGTAACCATGTTGTCTGTTTGTAAATAGACAGCTTTTCTTGGCATTGCTTCTAACTGCTGGGATATGGTAGGGTTGTGTTCTTGAATTTCTACATAGAAATAAGGTAAAAAATACTACTTTTTCACCTGATGCTGTGCACCTGATGCAGATGTCTGTGAAGTTACCTCTGTGTTTTAGCACAAGACCAGATTAAGGTATGTGGTTTTATACCTTTATACTCCATAGAAGCTTCTGTTGCTCTGTACCACTCAGGACTTGGCCAGTCCCTATGCTGCAGCTCACCTGTCCAACTTCAATTCTTGGTTAGCAACTTCATAGAGAGGATCTGAAGAAAAGCTCAGTGGAAAAGGTGCTCATAATCTCCATAAGAGATTCTGTCACAGTTGGATAATAAAATACAAAACTGGCCAGGATTCCCCCATTGTGATGTACAGGTGTTAGTGGTGAAAGTACCAGCTCCTCCAAGCTTTCAGCTGCACTCAGTAGTTAGGTGCTGCGTCATGCAGTGCTGCATTGTATCAGTGGATCTAGAGATAACATATTCAGTGTTTGTGTGTATCCCACAGAGCGTTTCTGTAAGGTAAGAGTTTGTCTTAGGAAAAAACAAAAGATGCCAGTGGCCTTGTCAGATATCTCTGAGTGAATCACCATCACTTATGCTCACTGGAGGCGACTGATCGTTTTCTTTTCTGCAAATGCTTTAAATTCAGTCTGTGGTCTGAAGAAAAGAGAATGTTTTTTCATTCATTTGCATCAATGTGCTAATGCAGGTTTTGCAATCGGATTTTATCTGTCAAGATGATTAATTGTATTGCTGCATGAGAGCAAGGGGAACTCAGATCCATCTCCTGTCACTGTGTTTGAATCTCCACGTAGTAAAAACTTTTTTAGAATTTTTTAATCTTGGCTTTTGTCAAGCATGCAGTTTTGTCTTGAAACTAGATCTGTTGATTGAATTCCATTTATCAGCCACTTTATTTTTATAAGAAAACTGAGATCAGCTTCACAGATTATAAGAGCCAGAGTCGTGTAAGGGACTGGAAGTGCGATAGCCGTTCTCCTACAGCCACAAGCATCCAGCTGCTATTATTTATGCACCATCGACAGTGGGACATGCTCAGACTTGAAGGACTGGTGCTGACCTTCCCTTGCTAATCATTTATACACTCCTTGTTTTGAGCGCTCCACCTTAAGGTTTCTCATGACTCACTTTCTCTCTGGAGTGAACAAATAAATCCTGAAGGACTCTGCATGCTTCCAAGTGTGTAACCTGTCCCCTTCTACTGGTCCTGTTTTCAGCAACAAAAGCTCTTGAAGTAGCAGTGCTATTTATTAAGGTGTGATCTCAGAGCCGTAGGACTTTGAGAGCTGAGAGAATGGTGGCTTCAGCTTGGCTTAGGCTTATCCTAAAATATCAATCCATGGCTTTTGTGCATGCCATGAGTGAGGAATAAAACTCCTCTGCAGTCTCTGGAGGCAGGAAAATTGGGCAGAGAATCATAGAATGGCTGGAGTTAGAAGCATGTACAGTTCTCTCTCCAAAAAGGGGAGCAGCAATTCATGTCGTCTTCAGGAACTTCTGTAAGGCTTTAGACATGGCCCACATAACGTCCTCGTCTCTGTATTGGAGACAGGGGTTTGAATGGACTGTTTTGTGGAAAATGAATTGACTGGATGGCCACATCCGGGGAGCTGTGGTCAGTGGCTCAGTGTCCAGGAGATCTGTGATGAATTATGTGCCTCAGGAGACACAGCTGTTAGAGCAGGTCCAAAGGAGGGACACAGAAATGAGAAGAGGGCTGGAGCCTTTCACTTTCAGATATCCTTTAGGGAATGGCAAATTGAGGCCTATTTCTGGGTTGTTCAGAACAAAAGACTTGATACTGGACATTCAAATGCTGAGGGTGCTGCTGATAATCCTTGTTGTTTTCTCTGTATTGATGGGTCCATCTGGGAGGCAGGTTTGACATTACCCCCTTTACTTTGCACTGCTTCTGTAAGTGGTAACTGTACTTGAGCAGCAATTGTAGTTGCATTTAAGTTGCAAATAGTATGACTGTACTATGGAATATAGGGATAATGAAAAAACACTGAGATTGTCACTAATTAGATGTGCAGTTCATGAGCAGAGTGTTGAGCTTTGAGGAGCAGGCAGGGCTGAGAGAGCAATAAGAGGGTACAAGAAAATACCACTTTCTCTTTGTCCCTCCCTTGTGTACCTCTTCCCTAAGAGGAGCTGCAGGGCAGTGGAGTGGGTGAGAAGGACATCCCAGCTGGAAGATCTGCTGAGAGCTTTGAGGAGCTTGTCTGTGGGGTCAGGGTTGGCTTGGCCATGGGGTCAGAGGTGGAGGGGAGGGAGGAACATGCTTTGGCTTATGTTCCAGATTGTGGGGCTGGATTAGGTGCACGCACTTGGGATGGGCTAATGAGAATGAAGTCATGTCAGACTGTCATTGTGAAGGAAAGAGGCTTGATCTGCTGTGCCATGAGTGCTGCTCCCCTCATGGTACATGGGCACATCTGACAGGACAGAGCTTACCACAGCACTCACAGGGGAGCGATGTTAGGCGCTATGGGTTGGTCCAGCATGAGTAACTCAAACTGCAGGGGTGTGATGCAGAGAAGGATGTGGTTCTTTTAATTCCTTCCCCTTGTCCCATTGTTTCCTTCCCAGGCGCACGCAAAATCTTCCTCTGCCTCTCCCTCCCAGCCCAGCTTTTCTCTTCTCTTTGGTTGTCCTTTTGTCCTTTCCCTCCTGTAGAGCCAAGCTCAACAGCGTATACCCACACCCAACAGAAAGGAACTTCTTTTGGCAATTTCTCCGTATCTGGGACCCATATGTCAAGCAAAACAATTGTAAATGGGCTTAGTTGGCATTCCTTTGGCACAGATAGCAGAAAGTGGGTTTCAGAGAGCAGGAGTGGGTTCTTCAGAAAAGCTTGGATTTCACAGCTGTGCCCATGAGCGGTGCTGGGGGATTGTACGACCTCAGAGAGCCTGGTCCCACTGCAGCGGGAGCCCAGGTCCTGACTCCTTCACTGCAGACAGGAGGTTGCGAAGGTCAGGCTGTGAGCAAACAGGTGCCTCCTGTGCCCGGGACGTGGAGGACATGACCTGCCCTGCCATTAGCTGTTAAGTCATGCTCCCCCTGGCTTCAGAGGATGCGTTACGTCTGTGTGAAGCACAACACAAGGTCAGTGTTAGATTGCCTCACATCACCAAAACACAAATTCATGTATTTGTCCTAAAGCGAGGCTGGTGCAACAGGACAAAATGGAATAATGTAACAGCTGGGAGCCAGGGTGTGCTGCAAGGTCAGAGGAGAAATACCCCAGCAGCCCTATGGGAAAGCAATGGTGAACTCTACTGCCAGATTAATCAGGCTTTTTTTTTGCCACAGTCACAATGTCAAAGCTTTTCTCTGCACGCTGAAGATGCCATGCCTGGCACTGGGAGTTGCAGTGCGGTGAAGCTACATCTTTTAATGGAAGTTCCCAGGCTGTGTGCCAGGACACTGCAAACAGACACATTTATGGTCTTTCAGGTACAAACACGAGTGATTTGTGATCAAGAGAAGGATGTGGTTCTTTCCACTCCTTCGCTCCATCCCCTTCTAAGCCATCCAAAGCACACATGGCTCTGTGATGCAACCTTCCCTGGGCTGGTAAACAATATTGCTATTGTAAATTACTTCAGTATCTTCGTGAAAAATTAGTACAATCTCCACAAGTACAGACTATTAAAATACTCTGTAAATTACTTGTCTGGCTTCACTGGAGTAACTCAACAAGTCCAGCAGCTGTAGGGCTTATCTCACATCTCTGCTGCTGAACCTGTGCTCTTTTGTCACTGACTCCAATGTATAACTTTGTTAACATTGAACAGCTTGTGAATTGGGAAAAATTCCACTAGGAATTTGAAATTTATATTTCCTTAGCGATCCATAATAGACAGTACTCACACTGAGAAGGGACCTGATGGTCAGTGCACACAGCGTGCTGAAAAAGTGCATCTCTGCAGGCAGCTGTAGGCAGCCCTGAACTTGCTTTGCCCACACTGCAATGTTTAGGCCACTGCTGGCCCCACGGCTGCGCTCTGCCATCTGCAGAGTGATGTTTTTCAGAAACCTCCTTGGGTTTGACAGTGAGGCACATGGCTGCTCTGTGGTCTTGTGGTGCACAACAGTACGACTGTGTTTGGATGTACAAAGCCAGCTGCCATCTGTGTTGCAATGTTAAGAAAAGTTGAAGGCGTATTATGTCCAGCAACAGCCCCAAGGTGTGCAGGAGCAGGTGTGCTGGATGTGGTGTCCGTGACGAAGCAGCAGCTATGGCCTCACACTGCTGCTTTCTGTCAACCTGCTCAGAAAGAAGGATTTGTGGCGTTGTTGTTCTCGTGCGTCATGGCATTATTTCTCTGAGACCATAAGCAGGGGGACTGCTTGCCATCTCAGGCTGGGTATTGCCTGATGTTTTCCTCCTAACAATAATATAAAGCCTTTGTGCATCGGTGAGAGAGGGTGAGAGATGCAGGAACTGCTGCCTATGCAGTATTATTTACGGAGACCAGTGCTGGACTATTTCTCCTCCTCCTTCACCTCCTCCACTCAAGGGCATTCAGATGCTTTGTAGACAAAATGTGTGGGGAGCAGTAATATTTTTACTAGGCCAACTGATAAACAAACATATTTTGGGAGCCGTTCCCAGGGCCATGCAGCAGTTCTGTGAGATGGAGGAAGTCCTGGTGCAGGACTCCTGGGCTTTACCAAAAGTCCAGAAACCACTGTTTCTCCTCTCGTGGCCAGTCCTGTCTCAGCAATATTTTGATTGCTCTCCTACAAAAACTCTTTTTTTTTTCCCTCTGGGCTGTTAATGTTACCACACAGATATTTTCTATCAACCTACTCCAGAACATTTAAGTTATTCTGAAAAGGGAATTAAGTAAGGAAGATTTACTGCAGTTTAAAAAATCCAGCGCTTGCAAGACATGTCCCCCAAGGAATGCTCTGTGATCCAGAGGATCATTTCATACCATTGCACTGGCAGTACTTCATTGGTCAAAGCCTTTCCGTGTTTCTTCCTGGGATATTAACACGAATTTATTTATCAGTTAAAACATCCAGCAAGATGAAACTTGTTTCCACAAGTGTTTTGATTGGAGTAGCATCGAGTTAGTTTCCATTTTTAGTGGCATTTTTTGCAGCACTGATTATCAAGTAGTTATTGGTTTCATCCCCTTCTCAATAACAGGGGCAAAATTTGGAAGCATTTAACACCAATACTTGCAGAACAAGAGCAGGATGGTCCGTTCCCCATGTGGGATTTGTTCTACATCTGCTGCCTTGCTGGGTGTTCTCACCTGGCTGTCTGTGCTGCTGTCTCCCTGACTTTGTATTGTAACTTAAAGGGGGATTAGAGATGCTGCAAGGTGACTCCGCCTTTACCATCTAAAGCTGTGTTAATAGAGGTAAACGGTACTTCGATTTCTGATTCTCTCAACAGAAGGGCCACTTGCCTTTATGATGGCTGGCACTTAATCACAAACCAAGGCACTTTCAGTCTGGTATTCATCTCTGGGCTGTGCAGAAAGAGCCATGGCTGTGCTGGGCAGGGGCTGCTTGGTGGTGCCAAGCCAAAGGAGAGACCTGTCACCATCACCTGTGATCAGCTGTGAACACAGGTGGGACCAGGCCTGCTCCATGGGCCCAACAGAGAGGAGTGAGCTTTGTGCAGGCACACACACATCAGATGCCCTTCCTGGCAGGGGTGGGTCCCTGTAACCTCAGCGGTGGCACAGGGCATGATGAAGCTTTAGTGGCACTTTAGAAATACGGGATTCAAGTTACCTGTTCTCCCAAGCTTACTGCCTGCCACAGATGGCCCCAACAGGCAGTCTCCTCCAGCAATGCCACAGATGCACAGAGCACTGACCTCGCTCACACATGGCACTGTCAAAGCACCCAGAGCTCTCCCATGCAGTGAGCAGCCCTCCTCTGCCCACGCTCGCACTGAAGTCACAAAGCAAGGTGAGCCTGCTGCCATGCCAAGGGGCATTTTTGCATCTCAGCAACCTGCTGTGGCAGCAGCTGCGCTACCTGCAAAGGACGCTTTTCCCTGTTATAGGTTTCTTTCCCTTCCTGGATGTGCCACACAGGCATATCCATGTCCTCTGTCCCCTTGGTGATGGACCTGTGCAGGATGCTCTGAGCCAACCCCAAGTTTTCAGCCGCTGCCAAAGCCCTGGCAGCATCCCACGGAAGCAGGCATCACCTCACTGCCTGCCGTGGCCGCTGAGCGATGCCTGGCAGAGGTGACTCAGAAGCGGGGAGCCCTGCTAAGGCCCTGGCACATCCCTGCACTGAAACACTGCCTACAGCCTCCTGCCTCTGCCCAGCTCGCCCTTCCTGCCACCTTTCCCCCGGGGTCCTAACTCCCAACTTTGTTGCTCTATAAACATAATAACAATAATTATTCTCTCATTGGACACATAGCCATCTTCTTTGTTTGCAGGCTTAGATAAATATCATTCAAATCATGGAGTCTGATTCATGAGTCAGGATGATGGCAGCCCTCCAAAACCTCCTTGCCCATGGAGAGTGTGTTTGTGTGAGAGAGATAGAGAGTTTCACTGTACGAAGAGTAAGAAACTGGAAGCCAAGTGAATTAAATACAAAGCAGATAATTATGTGTAATTCATTTACTGACTAATGATTGCACCTGGTACAGAGGTCTATGAATTCATTTCACTCTGCATTTGTTCTCAAAACAATCTCTCTGCACAAGATAAAAACTAGGCCTGTGTTTACATTGGTGTTATTGTAAGATTCTGTCTCTCTGGTTCATTCCCCATTTTTCTCACGATGTTTCACTTTTCCTGAGTTCACCTGGTGTCTCCTTGGCAATGACAACTGTGCAGGTAGGGGCTGGGTGCCATTCTGCCTACAGCAGAATGCAGCCTTCGCTTCTCTCCTGGAGGCTGTGTGGTGTGATTACATGCAGGGCTTATCTCTCATCTGCTGCAGCCAAATTTTGCCACCAAGGCTGTGCCTGCAATGGGGAGCAGCAGGTCATGGCCTCCCTCCCCCCTCTGCTGAGATGGCCAGCAACTTGCTGCTCTTTACGTGGTGTCACCCAGCTGCCCCTCCAGCCTGGCTCCATCAGCTCCCTCCAGCTGAACAGCAGCAGGCGCTGTCAGCCTTCACCTGCTGTCACCTGGGTTGAAGACCCCAAAGGCACCTTCAGCAGGGTGAAAAAGCTCATGCCTAATCCGTGGTGGCCAGCAGTGCCGATGTCACACTGAGGACTGCAGTCTGTGTGACACTGCTTGCACTGTGAGTTTGGGAGCAGAGCACTGAGCCAGGCTGGGCCCAAGGCTTTGCTGGGTGTGGGCAGCAGCAGGAACACTCCTGAGGTGATGCTCTTACCATGTGGTGGAAACAGAAGACCTTTTCCAGCTGTCTCCCACGGGCAGTCATAAGGCATCCAGCAAAGCCCCTTCTCCCAGTCCATCCATGTGTCAAAGGCGCCTACCTTACTCCTCCCTCACCCTGCAAATAAATCTACACACTCAGTTCATTGCTCAGGTCCTCTGTGATGGCTGATGCTCAAAGCAAGAACTGCTGCTTCCTGCTGAGTGTGCCAGCACCATCACACAGCTGGGCTCAGTCCAGTAATCGATCCATTAACGGGGTACAGGAGAGGTAAGTGCACAGCATTCATGCAAGTGGGAGAGGGCTACATCTGCAGGCACTGGCTGAGAGCAGATTTCTGTGGGATGTCCTTTAAGAACAACTCTGGGAAAGGAACCAACTGGAATGACATAAGGAAGAGGGAAGTTACTTGGCAGTTTGAATAGAGGCTGGTTAGTAAATCGTGACATGCTCACACTGAAAGAACATGCTGAGTTCACCTACATATGCTTTCCAGTATTATTTCCACTGAGTCTTTACTGAAGCGTAATAGTGAAGCTGAGCTGGTGGCTGCCAACGAAACAGCTGTAGCAGCAGATCTAACCACCAATGCTGCACAAACACAGTGGGAGGTGTCTCCCTGCAGCCACCGCCAGCGCTGCGCCGTGCCAGGAGAGCATCCCTGCCGCCCGGCTCCTCCGCTCCCAGCACAGCACTGCCCTACACCCTGCAGCCCTCCTGGGGAAGTGGTGAAAAGCAGTGGAGGTGCTGCTCTCTCCATCCGTGGCAGCCACAGGTAATGAAAGCATCAGCAATTAAAAAAACAAAAAGAGTAACCCTATGCTCCAGTATTGGAGTGATTTGTCATTAGAAAAGCCAAAACCAGCTCTCCTTGTTCACGAGTGCTCCCACTGACTGAAGCGGCAGTCAGCGTGTGCTCTGGTTTTCAACCCATGCAATCCTTTTCCGATGAAGACCTGACAAGCCAGGACAGATTGCAGTCCGTGAGATACTCGTGGAGTGATCGTACTTTACCTGTAGGTGGATCCTCTTTTTAGATAGCGTGAAGCAGAGCCAGTGAGCTGATTCACTGCTGTACTCCAATTTTCACCAGAATAACACCACTGAATCATCATCAAATAACAAATGATAAAATGAGATCGTTGTGTTTAAGTCTGCAGCATGTGTATGGAAATGACTCGTTTTCTTGCAGAACAATTACACTGCATGGACACTTTCTGTGTGCTGTTTCCCAAACGTATCACAAAGGTGACAATATGACATTTATGCAGCAGTTCTACATATCAGAAAAACCCCACCAATTAACGTCAAAAGTAACAGCTGGTGGAAAAACGTCACCATACCTAATGTGTTTTCTTTATTATCATTCAAAAAAAAAAGGAGGATGAGGTGAACTTCAGCTTCTGAAAAGACTCCATTTTGTGGTTCGTGTATTTCTGCACACCAGCTAAAGCTCAGAAACTGCTAAGTTAAAAACACAGTCCTGGTTTCTCTTCTATTTATGAAAATACTTGCTGAACAATTGAAAAGAACTGTGTAACTGTGATTTTTTTGCAAGTAATGCTCTTGAAAAGCAACTGAAGACAACAGGCAAGCTTGCAATTAGTAATTCTAATTATAAAGTGTATACAGAAAACAATGTAGCATCATAAGTAAAGGCCAAGTTCAAATGATGCAATAGGAGTAGCAGAACACCATGTAACAATGGGCAAAGCATCCAGCAAGAGGAATACTTCTAAATGAGCTATAGTTTTGCCATCAAAGCAACAACAACAACAACAAAAAAAGAGAGAAAATAATAGCACAGCACTATATTCTATATAACTTCTATGGTAATTCATTCTCAGTGCCACCTGATACTCGTGCTTCTGTTGTAGCCCACAGTCATCCCTGGATGACACAGCCACAGAGTAAGACCTAGTAATGAGCGATTATTGCAGAGTGGGGGAGGGGGAAAGAAGGGGGGGAGGGGGGAAGCTCCCCTGTGTTGTTTATCCAGGAACCACTCTGTGCCTCGCTCCCACTTCCATCACTCAGCAGCTATCAAATAATGCTGCCTGTGACGCTGTACTTCCTACAGGCGAGCCACATTTCTGTCACGTACAGGTTAACAGGTGTTTGGAAACAGGAAAAACTGAAGTATGATGCAGGGGTCTGTGCTGCATAGCCTGCGGTGTGTGTATGTGTGCCCCCTAAACTCCACCAGTTTCTGACAGCACTTCATGTACTGCATGGGAACTGCAAACCCTCAGCATTAGGGAAGGCCCTCTGCTCTGCACCAGTGCGTGCAGCAGCAGCACAGGGTTACGTGCTGCGCCAAAGAACTGCTCTCAGAATTAAGTCCTGGTGCAACCAGAGAAGGTGAAGAGACATAATACCTTAGGGAAATGGTTTTATTTATTCTGCCTGGATGCATATATTGCAATCATCCATGGAGCATGATCCACAATGCTGAAAACCATTTCATTATGTTCTATAAGTAAGAGCCTGATGTGGTTCAATTGTATCAATTATGCAACTCTTCTAAGTGGTGTAGTCAAGGGTAAATGCAGGCAAAGGGCACTCCCTTTGTACCTGCTTCTACTCTGGGCACTTCTAATATTTACCTGCTCCTCATATACCACAGACAGATCTATCTGCCCACTTCTATTTACCGCTGTATCACTGACTGCTCTTTGGTCAAGAGCTTTTCCTATGCACCGATGACACAATGAAATAGAAAATGGAAGTCAAGACACTGCTATGTGTTTGTCTGTTGTGCAAGATCTAAGTGTGGCTGTAATTTTGAGCAAAGCATCGCTTTTAAACAATGTTTAAACTGACACTATTATTATGCAATATAATTAATTATAGCTAGAAGGGCATTTGAGGTTATTTGGCACTACCTTTGTCCATTTCATAATTATACCAAGAGAATGACTAAGTTGTGCCCAGCCTAATTGTATTCATTTGGTTTTATCCCTCCTCTCTGCCATCCTAAGTCACTTGTATTCTGATCTGAGAGTTTTTTGGAGAAGTTTGGATGTGTTTGTGCCAAATACAATGGAGCCCAGGCTAGCTAGGCAGCCTCAGGTGATATTGCAATTGAAGCACTAACAATAGCAATAATAATTACCACTAGACAAAGTGATAAGTACAAAACAAACGTCACTTTTTTCAGTCACTGTTACCGTTACCGACAGAAGATTTACCCTTATCTGCTCCTGCTCTGTGCATTCTAGGACATGTTTGTGTAGCCAGAAGATAAAGCTTCGTGGCACGATGTGACGTCTTTCAGATGTACTGGGAGCCCAGCAGACACCTCCAGAGAGCAGCTGAAGAGCAGCAGCAGATGGCTGCAGCAGCATGCAACGCACCAGCCCCATTGCCCTATGCAGCATGGGGGTTCAGTACTCAAGGGATGCACAGTGCAGCTCAGAAGCCTGGGCTGATGGCGCTGGGTGCTGCAGCGCAGACACAGCACTGTGCAACCTCTGTGCCCCAGGACCTGCAGTTTGCTGCTGGTGTTAGGGCTGCGGTGAGGATGGCAGCTCACGCAGCCTCTGGAGCCAGGCTGGCTGCCCAGCAGCCCAGCCACAGATTTCGTGCCATATTGGAGCTCAGCAGCTGCCCCAAGCTGGCAGGCTGTGTGCCAGCCAGATGAGCTGCCCAGAGGTAGCGGTGAGTAAAGCATCTCTTCTGAATGTTACTTGACAGTGTCCAACCAACAGAAACAAAAATAAAAATTAAAAAAAAAAAAAAAACAAACACAACAGTGATAACAGTGATTTCCTCAGAAAGCAATCAGCTTAAGAAATGGTCTTACCTTCAGAAAAAGCTCACTTGGGCTTTCCAGAAGGGAGCTCGCAAGCAGGAGGGGGATTGACATTTTAGACGGTCTGACAGACAGGGCAAAGGAGAACAGCTTTAATCTAAAAGAGGGGAGATTTAGGTTAGATGTTAGGAAGAAAATCTTTACTCAGGTGTGGGGGGTAGAGTGGCGAGGCCAGCCTCTTTTCGGCAGTGTGTGGAGACAGGACAAGGGGAAACGGCCAGAAAGTGCAGCATAGGAAGTTCCGCACAAATGTGCACAAGAACTTCTTTACGGTGAGGTGATGGAGCACTGGAACAGGCTGCCCAGGGAGATGGTGGAGTCTCCTTCTCTGGAGATATTCAAGACCTGCCTGGACACCTACCTGTGTGACCTGGTGTAGGGAACCTGCTTTGGCAGGGGGGTTGGACTCGATGATCTCTGGAGGTCCCTTCTAACCCCTACGATTCTGTGATTCTGTGGCACTGGCACAGGCTGCCTGGAGAAGCTGTGCATGTGCCATCACTGGAGGCATTCAAGGCCAGGTTGGATGGGGCCCTGAGCAGCCTGACCTGATGGGTGCAGTTCTGCCCATGCCAACTGGGTTGGGACTTTAAGGTCTCCTCCGACCTAAGCCATCCTATGATTCTATAACTGTTTGGTGACAATGAAAGGCTACAGTCTTCAGCTGGTGGCTGGATACTGGATTGCACTTGTACGATAGAACTGCCTGCAAGGGCTGAATACCATAATTAACAGGCATTTTTTAGAAATTATTGGTTAATGCCATGTAACAGAAATACTGCCAACTGTTGCTGATAAAACTTCGCTTGTTCCTTTGGTGGTAATGCATAATGACTCAACACTGCTTCAGTGGGAAGATACCTTTGTCTGTTACATATCGCTACGTTCATTTTTACAATGGTTTATATGGCAAATAATACAAATTCTGAAACTTAAAATAACTAGAGTGCCAGCTGCATCCTGAGCAATCACAGCACTGGTAACACAAGGCCTTTTTATCATATAGCATTAATAATCCAGTCCCCCTCCCACAGCAAGCAGTGTGGCCTTTATCATCAAGGCTGTTTAAGCAGGACTAAGCTTAAAGGGTTCTATAACAGGGAAACATGCTAATGTAAGTTTCACGTCCATCTGATACATTTCTCATGCAAGTTATACATGACCACCCAGTGCACCTCTGCACATTTTTAGTAACAAAATCTATGAGCCATACTGGGGAATCCAGGTTGTGCTGAGATAATGGGCTCTACTCATATGATGCAGCTGTCTTATCACCAAAGAACATTTTCACAGTATTGCAATAGTGACCGAAAGGTTATTTCTCAAACCTTGTCTGTCACCCAGCAGGTACCAGCTGAAAAGTTTCTGTTTGATTGCTAAAGAGTAGAAAGCAATGAGCACACATTGGCAAATCTTAAATCAGGCATGATGTGGATGTTGCACATTTCAGACTAACGCCCACCTTCACTTCAGGGAAAGGAGAAACCAGACCTGCAGACACACTAATCGCTCCTGCTCTCAGAGTTCCCACTCACCTGTTTGGAAATGAACAGCAGAACCTTGCTGCTTTCTATTTACTGCACTGAGAGCCAGTGATCTCAGTACTTCCAGTCATCAATTACATGGCTGTTATATTACAGCATTTTATGATGCAAAATCCTCCTAATGTACAAATTAAAAAAAAAAAAAGTAAGTCTGTGCTGAGACTGACAATTCTGATACAAGGGGAGGTGAAGTCCAATCTCTGCTCAGCTGGGAGGAGCACAAAGGTGATGACACACCACTTAGTTTTGGGACAGCTTGGAGGTGTGGGTGTGCGACCAGCCAAACCAGGGTCACTTCACCCAAAGAAGGGTAAGCAGCAGAACTGGGCAGTCATGCACAGGACTCAAACCAGACTGTGCCAGTCAAAACGAGAGCTCCCAAAGCCTGGTTTCTGGTTGCACCCACTGCTGAGCACAGACTGTGCATCCCATCAAGCGCAGGAGGTGATGTCCTTCCACTCTTTCTAAGGGAAGGCGCTTCAGAATGCACAGGCACAGACACTCAGCAATGCTGGTGCTGGACACATGCAGATGTGGCTGAAGAAAACTAAACAAGTTGCATCAGAACCAAAGGGATTCAGGCAGCCCATCCCACCGGCTTTCATAGTGCTGAACATGACGGGCTCTTAGACAAACCTGTGGATCCCAGCCTGCTGTGTGACACTGCTAAGTGACTCTTGTCAGCAGAGTGTAGCAACTTGACTACCCTTTCACAGAGCACACTCTGGCCTGGGTACTGCCCAGGGGAAAAGCAGAGCCTCACAATTGGAAGGCAGGCACCAAAAGACAAACATGGGGCTGGAAGCTGGACAGTCCCAGCACACAGGTCAGAAATAAAGCTGCTTTTATAGCAAGGATTTCAGTATATGGTCTGGCTGTTGCTGACCTTGTCTGAGAACCTCCCAGCAGCAGTGTGCCCATTAGTTGATATGCTGCAGGCCTGTATCAGATGACACTGCTATTACAATGCCTACAGAGGTAGGGAAGCTCATATGTTAACAAATAATACTGAGTGAATCGACTCCTCCTGCCTGCATTGCAGTTGCTGTTCTATTCCCTCCACTAAACTGAGCTTTAGGAGACAATTTTCCAGACCCCATGTATCACTGCAGCAGGAGTACTGTTGTAGACCAGGTAGAAAAAGTGGAGTTGTGAATTCACCTTCTCTTTTGAAATGTTACTCCATCCACCCACACCTCTTTCTTCTTTGCTAACTCCAGTCACCTATCCCCAGGACCTACACCCACTCTGATCCCAATTCACTGATGAACATACATGGAAACAGACCTTGCTAAATAGATTGCAGCTCCTGTTCCATGGCTGTGTTTATAGGATCATTTGGATACTAAATCTAATACATAAATGAGAACCCACTGGTTGAGTAAGGTCTCTGGATTTAGTGCTTGCTCCATGAAACAGGTTACCCAGCACAGCAGCTCTGGGTGCCCCAGGACACAGGGCTCAGCCAAATGGAAGCCTGACCCCGAAGAGGTTAACGTGTGTTCTGATGCCATTTGGGAAATTCTCCCCATAGTGCCAGGACACTCAGAACCTGAGTGAGGAGACACCTGAACCATTCAGAGGACTCCACCCAACAGAGGCCCCATCAGCCAAGCTGCCAAAGGTGCCCAGAGTCCCACACCTCTGTCCCAGGGAAAGCCCCGCATGCTGGGGACTGGGACCCTATGAGCTTGGGCTCACTTCAGTTAAAGTCTTCCCACTTCATAGCAACAATGTCCTGAAAAGATGGAGGATGCAGAACAGAAAACTCAGCATGGCACAGTGATGCAGAAAAGGTTTCAAAAGGTCAAGTCAGGGAGAAGTGGACTAACTCCGGTATTTTAACAGCTTGGCATCGATGCTATAAATTAAAACAAAGTGTGCTGGATATCTTATTTTGTGTGTGTGGTAAACTGTACAGTTAGAGTCTGAATAAACCTCTTTTGTCAAATTTATTACCTTTCTGATATAAAAATATATAAACTTAAACAAAGAAGAAATGGAGACCTGCCAAGCCAGCCTATTTCGGTAAGAACTGCACTGACAAGGGAGCAATTGTGTCTTAAAGCTCAGGGGCTGAAACGATCAGTTTTTGGGGGCTGGCAAAGCCCTTCTGGAAGGAGCTGCTCTGTATGCAGTAGGAGCTACAGTAAAAGAAAAAAAAAAAAAAAAGACACTGTTCTGAAAGAACATAATTAAATTTTTGCTACCAGAACTGCTTCCCTGTTTGATGGGAAGGCTGCATGTAAATAGCTGCTGTGAAATATACCAGGGTAACAGCACCTAGGAGCATTTTAATGATGATATAAAATTCACAAGTAAATGATATAATGTACTAAGTAACTTACTAGGCTGAATATAAAACAAAGAGTGATGGTTTTACTCTGCAGTGAATCTCAACAATGAGTTCTAGGCTTACCAGTCCGATGCCAAACATGGGAACTTCCATAGGCAGCAACACCTAATTACTGCTGGGTGGAGGTGAATCAACCACTTTCCGTCACGAAGCCAATGAGGGACCCTCAGACAATCTGCCAAAGGTGGGTGGGTGAATGAGTGTTACTTTCTTGCTAGGCTCCCATCAGGGCACCACACCTTGTGATATTATCTCTGTAATAAGCAAACAACTTTAAATGATATTGTGTCACTGCAAATGAAGCAGGAGGGTGACCCAGCAAGTCAGATTTCATTAGCGCATGAGGGACTGCACTCCAGCATGCAGGTACACACACACACTTACCTTCAGACCTTCAAACCTCAGCCTGCCGTGCAGAGCAATATAAACCTTAGCCAAACACGCCTGAGACTGCGTCTCCTTCAGAGATGCACATGGATTTGCACATGCACAGCAGGCTTATCACTACACCGATGTCCTATTTGCTTTTCTGTGTGCCACTGTTGAAAGTTTTCTAATGCGCTAGGTAAGAAGATCGCAAATGAGGCAGAAATTCAGCTGCTCAATCACATTAATATGGGTACAGTAAAAGATGACAGCATTAAATATATTTTGTCTAATTAGCAAGCCATGTGCAATGCTGCCTGCCCAAGTGTTCATGCACTCAGGCTCACTGCCTCCCACCACTGCACCTTCCTGCCTCTTTCCTCAGTTGCAAATACCTGCTCTAGTTCCAGTTACAGGGGACATATCTGGTCTGCCAAGCTTTCCAGCTGTGAACACACCAGTGACTCCTGCCAGCCCTCCACTGTTCTGACTAGCATTACCAAGAGTTTTCCATACAAAAGGAGTGATTCAGAAGACTTCAGAGGTGTCACCTTGGCTGGGAACAAGTGCTGTTATCTGTCACAAGGAGAGAGCTTCAAGTCACCTAAGAGCATACCAGATCGGTTCACAAGGGCCTGAACTACAATAGCTAGATAAGTATGCTGATAGAAAGTAAGAAAGAAAATGGTTGAAAAGTCACCAGGTCGGACTGCAGGGCCAGAGCAGGAAAAAGGCTTTGCCAGAGCCATACCTAGTGAAACTCAACCGTCTTCTGTGAATTCAACCTGCTATAGGCCATTGTGCTAATGTGTATTTTGGCAAGTGCCTGACCCTTCCTGTTGACTGAAATACTCATGCTCTCTAGAAATGACCAGGCCTGCACCCAACTCTCCAAACAGCTAACCTTTTTTATTTCTTCCTCTTTCAGAACCAGTCAAATCCCTGCTGGGTGCCAGGGTCAGACAATACCACACTCTACCATCCGTTGATCTGGTTCCTCCTTGTTTCTTCTGTTTAGAACTCTTCATGGTAACACAAAAGCCATAGCAACAACATTAGGATGGTCACTCTTGGTGGCCAGGCTGGGAAGAAAGGGAATAGTAGGTGTGTCCTGCTTAGGTTGCTTCTGAATTTGACCTGCTCAGCCGCTCCCTACCAAAAATTCCCTCAACCAGCACATCGGGCTCATGCTGTAGGTGTCACAAACTCCACACATGTAATCAACTGGCTTCTTCTGAAAGGGATTAGCCTAAGCATTAGCAAAGAGCTAGATATCATTTTTAAGGTATCAGTACATTTTTTATCCGGGAACATTACCAAGCAAATTCATTTGGAAGCCATTTCCAAACACATTGACAAGAATGCAACTCAGAACAGGCAGCATGGATTTACTAAGGTCAAACTGTACCTGGCCAACATGGTTGTCTTCTGTGCTGAAATGACGTGCTGGATAAACAAGTTAGGGATGTTGTGGATGTCACTTATTTTGGTTTTAGAATAGCCTGTAACATTGTCTCCTGTCCAAAACAAACTGGGGTGGTACAGACTTCATGGATGGTCCACAGCACGCCTGGAAAAAGCACATGAAGCTCAAAAGGCAATAATGGTCAACAACTAGACTTCTAATTAATTGCATTAAGAAATGGCATTTTTCAAGGGACAAAACTAGAGCCTGTCTTCACTAACATCCTGGATGAAAGGGTGCAACGCGTGCTCTGCATGTTTGCACATGACACTGCATTTAGGGTGTAGATCATTATGCTGGAGGACAGGACAGCCATTCACATGCTCTTCAGCAGACTAACCTGACAGAAATCTCCTCAAATATATCAAAGAGAAAGACAAAATCTGCACACAATACAGAATTAATCTGTGCAACAGCAGAGGATGGGAGCTGAGTGGTTAGCAAGGAGCTTCACTGAAAAAAGAAGCTGGGGTCCCAGTGGACAAAATGCTCATCATGAGTCAGCTGGGAGCCTGTGCAGTGGTGACGGCCAATTGCACCCTCGCTGCACAGGAGGTAACGGAACCAGATGCTCATCAGCAGTGCACAGCATGAGGGCAACGACCACAAGCTGAAGCAGGAGAAATTCCATTGAATATAACTGGAGAAATGTTTCAAAATGAAAGCCGACATGCACTGGAATGGGTGCCCAAAGAGGTCTGTAACATCTACACCCATGGAGACTTCCAACATTTAACAACAAAGCCCTAAGTAGCCTAGGCTCGTGCTGAAGTTAGCCCTGCTTTGAGGAGGTTGGTTGCAGCCCTCTAGATGCTCCTTCCAACCAAAATTATTTGATTATTTTTTAATTTTTTTTTTTAAACAGCTGTTGATCCGGGAGACCTGGCTGGAGTTAGTTACAGATTCCTCGAAAAGAACGAAGCTGTTATCTCCACAGCATCACCTGCCAGTTATTACTTATTTGTAATATGAATGAATTCAGTGCATACATCACAAGTCCAGACAGTCAAGAGACTTCAGGTCTGAGATTTTATCTTTGAGGATCAAAGAACTGAACTTTCTCTCCCTGATCTTCAACCTGAGCAAAAAAAGAGGCCTGTCTTTAATGCACTGTCAAAACCTCCTCACTTCAGAGGCAGCATGAGAAAGACTATTTCTGGGCTTTGTTTTAGATTTATGCAGCTTGTGGTGGCAACTGGACACGTTGTGAGACCTTCTAATAAAACAATTGTTTTGGCCTGAAATGTTGTAGAAGCAGTGTACAACAGATGTCCTCCAAATGCAACACCTACTTCAATATCTGTATCCTACCATATATACACGCACATTTATATGCAGCAATCCAGGCTGCCAAAGGCTCAGAAAATCGGCTAGCTACCATGAGAAGTGGTTGCTGGGTTTTTGCAGAATCACACTGCAAATGCAAGGTGTGGATCCACGAGGCTATGCCTTCCAGCAGCATGGGCTGCAGTGCCAGGTGTACCGGCACACCAGGAGAAGCTAAGGACAGAGAACTCCCCAAAAGACACTGGTGTGCAAGGGTATTTTTACCTCCCAGGCTCAGCACAGACACAGGTCACCACAGTGAGTCACAGCCCCAGATGTCCCTTGAAAAACCGCAGCTGACCCAGGCACTTGCTGTCAGAACCACAATGAATGCCCAGAAAAAGCAACAGATTTAGCCCTAATCTCTGCACCAGTTGGGGTCTGCGATACCAACACAAAACCCGGACCAAGAAGCAAAAAATAAATAAATAAAAGTAAAAACCCATGTGTATTTGAAAGCACGTCCAGAAACAAACAAGCAAAACCTCTTATCCAAACAAATCATAGTTAGATCTTGGGTGAGACCATGTTTATGAAGGTTTAGCCAAGAAGCTTGCTTGGAGATACCTCTCCAGCCTTAGCATAACACAACCAGCCTGGACAAGCGCTACTAGAAAACACTTCATTAAAATGCTGTTGTGGTATTCATTTATAGGTAGCAATTTATATCACACCCATCGTACACACCAATCTGGCAGCTATGATTGTCAAATCAGACTGCTTCTTCCCCAATACCCCCTGCCCAGAGCCCACCTCACTGCCCACACTCTCTTAGCAAAACAACTACTTCCCACCTGACATGGCCATCCCTATGAATAAGCCTTTGTTTGAACTAATTGAGCTCTATGTGTTCCAAACACAGCTGGGCATCAAAGATGCAACAGTCTCAAGAGCCAGGCACACATCTATGGTGCTCTGCAGCTAGGTACTCTTGGGTACAAGCGGTGACCACTGCAGAGCTCTCCCCAGGAGACAGCTGGCAGCTGCATCCTGCATCTGCTGGAGAATCCAAGCGGCTTTGGAGATATCAAGGGCAATACCAGAGAAGTTTCTCCGTGTTACGGATGCTGGTGGAAAAGCTAGTGTGATAAAACACCTTACAAGAAAGCACTGGGTGTGTCTTCAGTGGGGAGAAGTTAAAAAAAAAAAAAAAAAAAAAAGGAAGAAAAAAAACTGGCAAAAAAAGAGGTTAGATGAGGTAGCTGGGACTGCCAGGGGCAATCTGAAATCAGTTTACATTAGAGCAGGTTGCTCTTGATTTTGCTACAGCAGTTGTCACGCTTGGTAAGAATAACAAGCTATTCATATGGCAGCCACCATTGTGCAGCTCAGCACATGCAGCCTAGTGGAAAGAAATCTAAGCAAATGCAGTGACTAGGATAGGACATTAAAAAAAATGGTTATGTAAATAAGTTTCTACTTCAGAAATCTGTGAGAACAATTGTTTCCCTGTAAGAGGGCTTCATCATTGGAGCACATGAGGCTTTATCCTAGATCTGCACTTCGAAATGCCCACAGTGGGGACAGCCCACTGCAGCTCCCAGATTCTTCCCACTGTCTGTCCCTTTCAATCTCCAGCTTTTTTTTAATACTCTCAAGTTCTTCAGCTATCTAGAGTTCCACCTTCATGCATGCCCAGAACTGCCCCAGTCTTGACAGGGCCAAGCAGCTCAGCCCATTTCACACCTAACTCTGATCAGGATCCAGAAACTGGGCGTTGCTTTGCCTGAACCCCCTGAGGGCTTTGATTGGGGATTATATGTTACCCGGTGACTGTTCCACGTAAAATGCATAAACAGTCCTGGGAGCAGAATCCGGACTCTCAAACTCCCATGTGAATGCTCAAACCAGTAGGAAAGGCAGCCACGCTCCGTCGCATGCACTTGCTTTGTGGCCCAGTGATTCAACAGCACGTTGCTGAGCGCAAGCAAGCAGTGCCTAGCTCCCCGCTGCGTCGTCTGGATGCTCTGCAAGAGATGGAAGGTGGGAACAACGACCCCAAGGACAACAGCAACCCAGTTTGTCACTTCCTGGCTGCCAGCAATCGATGTTTCAGATTAAATATGTTTGCTGTGACAGAAAGGCTGTCTGTACTTCCAGAGGAGCTGTTATGCTGGGGTGTCTGCAGACTTAAAAACTTTAAGTTTTCCTATTAGTCTATGGTCCCAACACTGACAGTTTTGGACGTTGTGCAGAAGCATCAGGCTTGCCTTGGGTACATGGTGTGGACTGCTGGCTCTAAAGCTGGCAGGTGGGCACTAGAAGTCAAAAAGCATAAAGCTTAATAATGAGACATCAAAGCACTCCTGGGTATAACTTCAAAAGTCTCTATCTGCAAACGGTTACACCAGGAAGTTACTCAGCCTGGGCACTCAGGTCTCAGAGCAACAAATGAGGAGGTTGGTGAGGTAGCATGTGGTAAGGCATAAACACCATTGAGAAAATCTGTACTGCTGCTATTGCTTCAGAAGCAAGTCCTACTTACCCCAGCACTGCACTAACTCCCTCCTGGGTAAGGCTCTCTCCCTGACACACTTTGTCATGTCTTTTAATTTAGGAGGAGGGAAAAAGCTTGGCTTCTTCCAAAAAGCAAAGAACTGTATTCAGGTAATTGTTAAATAGCAAAATGCTCTCTGTGCCCATTTGCATTGCTCCAAGAAACAATTTTTCAAGGGCTATTTACTTTATTATTAAAGTAAAAATGCACAAACGATAACATTTCTTTGAAGAAACATCACACGAACCCAAATGCACAAAAAATGCCTGGAAAACACCCTATCTTGCACAGAAAGCAAAAGCTGCTCCTAAGTTTCACTTACTGCAGCAACTGCTTCACAGCCAGTTTCCCCATTTGCTTCAGTGCTCAGAAAGTTCCTTTGGAAACCACTCAGCACACCAAGCACACACACGAAACATAGGGAAGAGCCAAGTTACTTCTAGCAATTGCTCTCAGGTACCAGCATAAAGAACAGAGCTGTTCACATTGTCCCCAGGCCACGATCTGGGGGCAACATCTTCTGGTATCACAGAAGAACCTGGAAAGAAAGAGGTAGCTTTGAAAACTCTTCTCAACTGTGTAATTTGGTCCAAACTAATCCACTGGGTTTCCACTACCACTCACCTTTGGATTGTCCCTCCATTCCCTACCCTGGGCAACACCAGAAACTCCCAGCTAAAAGCAGAAGCAGCTGCCAGCCATGCTGTATGACCACTGCTCTAACAATCTCATGTCCTCCACAGCTTGGCACAAGGCAGAGGTAGAGATGCTTTCCCTGCTGGGTCCAGCCCCAGGACCACCATTAGCTACAGAGCCTATGGATGCTGCAGGGCACACACAGCGTGCTGACAGTTGTCATACAGGTTGGTGGTCATTTTTACTGTGCAGCATGTGTCTATTGGTCAAAATACAAGTGTAAAGAGGACTGCAGACAATGAGCACTTTCAGCATTCATCTCTAAGACAGCATGAAATACTACAGTGACCTGGGGCTGTAGCTAAGCACCTGAGCACCTCTAAATAAATGCAGATATGGTAGCTTTTGAGCAAGGCCTGTGTTAGGACAGAAAAGGCTACAGGAGCTGCATGGAAGAAGGCTGGCAGGTGAATGAAGGGTGCTCCCCTGTCAGAGGTGCAACAAAGCCCAGGGCTTATTGGAGAACTAAGGCTGATGACTGCCAGGCATGTGAAGTGCTGAGGTGCATGCTGAGGAAGCATGTCGGTGTGCTAATTCCTGACAAGGAAGGCTGCATGGTCCAGCAGCAGCAATGCAGTGCTCTGATCCACTGCACTGTTTGCAGGGCACTAAACACGCTATTCTATGGAAATCACTAATGGCTTCAGGAGAAAATTAACAGATGGTCATGGGGGAAATCTCCCAAGGGTTGTTTTTTTCCCCTCCTTCTCAACGATAATAGACTACTTACCATTGTCTGAAACCACCTGCACAATTTCCCAGGCATTGTGGCTGGCTGCTGGTTAGAGCAGAGTGTGACTGCAGTGCTGTTTGCAGCACTAAGCTTGCTTTCCATTATGTGCCCATGCGTCCATGAAAGACTGCATAATCCAGAAATTCACCATCATGATATCATAAAGACTGATGGGGGTTGGTAACTAATGCTCAGGATTAGGTTCAGGGAATACTTAACCTTTTCTAGCTAATCACATTACTTCAGGTACCAGATACACTAGCTTTCCTATTGGTATTAGGGGAAGAAGCAAATCCTGACTGGTCTTCGGAGGAACAGTGCAGTGTATCACTGTTGCTAATGACTCCTGAAACTCACTACAACAGAAACAACAGATGTTACCCCAAACAAAGAGCAGCAAGAGGAAACAGCAACACATCCAGGGACAGGCACAGAAAGCTTTACAACCCTGGGTGTATAATTCTGTGGGAAGGTGGGGATAGGCAACAAATATGTATCTCATGAGTAATGAACACGTGTATTTTCATGTGGCATCACCATTCTGTAAGGGCTGCCAGTTAGTAATTCTTGCTGCTCTCCCTGCCAGGACATGTGACATACAGCACGGCCACATGTTCCTTCAGAGCAGTGTTGCAGCACGAGATCTAGGACTTCATGCCACCTTCCTCATAGCCTTGCTTTAGCTAGAAGGTATTTGCTCAGATTCTCAGCTCAACCAGACTTCACAGAAGTAGGTATCAATTCCACCATTACAATCCCTGCTGCCCACACCAGGTGTTCTGGGATAAACATCCTCAGCACATCGGATCAATTCAAGAATCTCTGCTAACTGTACTACTTGCCAACCATTCAGCTGCAGCCAGTCACACAGGTACAGACACACAGGGCAGCACCAGCCATGCCAGCTTCCTGGGCAATGTGTGTTCTCCCCTTCTTCCTTCCCTTTTCTCAGTATCTCAGAAGAGTCTGGCAAACAGAAGGGGCATCCAAAATACCCCTTTCCTGGCAGCCAACAGCCACTGGCCCTGTTTCCCGATGTATGTGAACACTCAAGTTGCAGAAATCCTTTTTCCATCCTGCTACAAAGACCCTACAATCTCCCAAGTGTTCTTCCCTGTACGCTCCTCATCTTCCTCACTTCCACAGTTGCTACACAGCCTCAGTCCTCTGCTCACTGCCAGACAGCAAATGACTCTGCAGAAAGCCCCTCCTCACCACTCCTCTGCCACTGCCTCCTGTGAGGCAAGCCCAGGAGCTGAAGACGACTTTGGTACGGCTCTGGTATCGGACAGATGCTGAGCTCACAGCCAGATGTGACCTGCTCGGTAGAGAAAGTCTTCCCTCACCAAGCTCGTTCCCTCCCACCTCGGTTAACAGGCATTTGGAACCGGGCTGTTGATCTGTTAAAGGATCACTGCCTCCTGAAATCACATTTCAGGAAGCCAGAAATTGCAGTTTGCAATCTGCGTGGTTCCTGTTTCCAAAGGTGACCTCATGTGTATGTGCACTTGTGTGTGCACCCCAGCTACCTTCCTTCAAGAAATACCTGCGCACGTGGCAAAGCCCCTCACAAACCTGTGCTGTGGGAGTGTGGTGACTGCCACGCTGCCTGCGTGTTGGTGGTGCCTGCTCTTGCAGTGTGCACATCACAAGCTCTACTTCAGGGAATAGCTGTGTGACATCTAATGTGCCTCAGGCTGGTGCAGCTGAAGGACACGAACATTAAGAGTTACAAATGAGAATCTGTGGTTAGCTGGCAGCTGGCACAAATGTTGCTTTTTTTTTTGATAAGCACTTCAAGTGTCTCATGAATAGGAAAACATTTTTTAATGAATCCTGCCTGCGCTCAGTAAGTGAACCACAAAGGACCCAGCCACCACACTACTTGGTATTTTGGGAAATAATCAGGACAACTGTCGCTTGGACAACAACCATCTTTTTTCACAAAAGCCCATGAAAGGCAGAGGTTGCAATGCACATATGCTCAGTCCCTTGGAAGGACACTCTCAGACACCCATGTCTGAATTTTAACTGTTGACTATGGGCCAGGCTCTGAGATGACATAGGCGGTTTTGTAGGTTACATCAGCACCTCCACAGGGTGCAGTAAGCGGGCCAGCTACCACCACAGCTCTGGACTGGCATACTTCTGTAGGGAAGATGCACAGGTCTGATTGAGTCTAGGGGAGAATTGCCCAGGAGACAAATCATGCTCTATCTAGTATTTCATCCTTTGCTCAGTTTCTGAGGCAAGCACTGGCAAAATACGGAAGGTTCTTTTGCTGCTGCTGCTGCAGATCCCCAGCTACAAATCCTCTGCACAGATGTTGAAAATAATCTGTGAGAACATGGATTATTTCTAAACTGGCATTTTCATCTAGAATTGTGTTGGATATAATGGTGATGGAAGGACAGCTAAGCTAGGCCGATTTGTTACAGTAAAGCTGTGTTGTACTTCAGATTACTTATTAACAAACAGCAAATGGGCCTCTGCCTTGACCTTTTTCATTTGAGCAAATATACTCCTCCTGCCCCCTGTAAACAGCAGGTACTGGTAACTCAGTCACGTACCCCTCACATTACCAAAGTTAGCTTTCTTCATCTGCGGCAAGGAGTTCAAACTGAATTCTGCCAAGCTCACTAAGGTTATTAGCAGCATTATTAGCCTTAATAATACCAGCAGTAATAATAATTCTCTGGATCACCGTAGACTTGAGAACATCTAAGTAGTTCAAAAATATTAATTAGAAAAACTCAATAGGAGGTCTGAGAAACCAGCAAAAATTGTCAGCTTCACTTCAGAGCTAAGAGCTGAAAATAGAGCCACAGCAAGCAGAAGCAGCTGTTTGCCTGAGGAGTTTCAATTAATGAGTGTTTCTTTGGTGTCATGAAATGTTAGGTGCCCAGTGCCTCTGGCAACACTACCAGGTTAAAAGCAGAAGCCCACAGTACGTATCTGGAGCAGCAGCAGGTTTGGGAACTGGAATCCAAAGCATAGTTCCGCCATTGAGACTTGGCCTTAGTCTGGGATGTTCTTCAGGCATCTTTTGCATTAGGAATAATGATCCCTTGGGCTCTTTGGAAAATTCCAGACCTGACGATCTTCAGTGCAGTTGAAGACCAAGAACACGCCTAGAACCCACACGTGTTCTTACGCCAACAAGCCATCGACATCCAATCCTTTTATATTAAAACTTTTTGAGTGAAGAAGGCAAACTGTGACAAGCACTCCTTTGCAACAGGTCACTCTGTTTCCTACCTAATCATTTCCCTGCCTTCTCTCCATTTCTATTAAAGCTCCAGTGGTGGCCAAGTCAAGACAATGGCACCAAGACATTTGCAGTGTTCATCTTGGTTCTAAGTTAATTTTTCCTGCAGATATCATCCCAATCCACCTTGAATCACACAACATGAAGCACTCAGTAAACAAGGTGAAAGTTTCATCTAGATTCTTAACCAATGATGTTGCAGAGTCTTTGCAGCAAGGGGTAATTACTTGTATTAATTACAGGCTCCTCTAGGGTACATCATGCCACTGCATAGAGAGGATTGGACATACAAATTGGAGGAGTGACTCTTTTTGCTTTCTTTGATTTGTTCAAAAACCTTACCATTTGTAGGCATAAGGACACAGGCAAAGTCAACCTCAGTGTTTTGTTTGCAGTCGGGATGACGCAGCGCCAAGAGCAACAGCTTCACAATTGAGAGATCCAGGTGCTGTTTCTCACTCTGACACACACTGCTCATGTGACCTGGAGCATGTCACATAACCTGTCTGTCCCCATCTGTAAAATTAGGATAATGGTAGTTAGTTCATGTTTAAGCCTGAAAGATGTCAAAACATAAGAAAAAGGAAGCTTCTCTTCACTGAGTCTTCATCCATCAACACCTTAAGAGTCACAAAAAGCACTGTGTCTAGATTGATGCCATTTTCCTGCTTATGCTATGATCACTGGTATCTGCCCAGTGGGCAGCTTTTCACTCTGTGACTGTGCTCACTCAGTAAGGCTGGCTTCTCATCAAGCATGTCATTGCTCTGTACTGCTCATTTCTGTCCCACATTCTTCTACCCCTTTCTAAACCCTGATGCCCTAAGGTGATCTCATCAGCAGGCTGCTTTTTCTCTAGATAGCACCAGTCAGAAACATCCTCTTCCAGGCGCTCACCCCCAGCTGCTGGGTCCCAGGTCACAGCCACCCCCAGCACGTCTGCTCTGTCACTGCGCAGTGCCAGTTCTCACTGTGCACTCGGCCACCCCCAGCTACTACCTTCTACCACTGACAGTCAAAGTAGGTTAAGATAATGTTGCCAGAGTCTGGACACCAGCACAAGAAACCCTCAGAAGAGCAACACCAAAAAATTTGCACATTTCTTCACTCCTTAAGCATACCAACCTGTAATCATTTGGTGGATGTATGTTTTTTAAAAACAGCTGCTTTCTTGACTGTTCGTTACTATAGGAGTTAGTTACTTCTCATGAAATGTCTTTCTCAGGATCTTCTCTATTGTCTGGAAACATGGCTGATAACTTGTCTAACTTCACAGTCACAAAATTCACTTCATCCAATTCCCTCAGATCATTTACACGGTTAGATGTTCTCCAACTTCACAGTGAACTTGAAGTACATGGTTTACTGATAATAAATCCCAATGCCTTAGATGTCCCTGTACATCTCCTGTGACACCCACTGTAATTGCTCCTCACATACAATTGCTAGGTTTGGCGCGTTGTGAGGTGTTGCTCCTGGGAGAACGGCAGAGTCCATTTTCCTCTCACTTCCTTTTGTCTCAGAGCCTCAGTAGCAGCATCTCCTCAGCAGAACCACACTCCGAAGTTTATGGTTGTTTGATGCCTAGTGACTTCAACAGAAGTCTCACAGCTGTCATCACACATAACGGTTTGAAGATTCAGGCTGTGCTTCATCCCAAACAGACTATTCACAAAAAGCCCGTCATGGTTCAAACCATGACAAAGTCTCAACTACGATTCAGGCACAGTCACTGACTTGGCCAGTTCTCATCACTTACATGTTATCTTCTTGTAGAAGCACTACCCAGGCTGACACTTGGGCAGCATCGCTTGGCCAGCAGGCCCTAGAATACAAACACAGATCTACCAAAGCGGGTGCTCTCAGCACAGCCCTCTAGTTGCATTTTCTGGCACAACATTTGACAAACATCAGATAATTGCGGGAAGAATGTCCCTAACACCAGACAGGCTAGAGCTCTGTGGGGCTTCCAAGGTCCCAGGCTCATCGGCGCGTGGATCCAGGGCACATATCAAAGAGCAGGAGCACACCAGGGGCAGGCCCACCTCCCAAAGCCCACATGTACAGGAGCTGTCCTGCACCTGCAGCAGTGCAATGGTGTAATAGCTCACGTCCTCACCTCACCTCTCCTTCCTTCCCTCCATCTCAGATAACTCCAAACGCCTGCCACCAGGCCAGTCAGCAGCTGCCTCCTGTCCTCAAGAGCATACCTGGCTGCACTATGGGAGAAGAGGGGACACCCCGCTGTCACTCTAGCCTTTGGCTCTCACACAGCTGAAGCAGGTATAGGATGACCATCCTGGGACAAGCCCACAGTCAAGGGCAGCAGCTCTTTTCTTCTATCTGGTTCCTCTGAGGAGGGCCCCCTCGACTGCATGGAGGGAACAGGAAGGATCTGGAAAGTTCTGCGGCTCTGTGCCATTTTCATGTTTGTTTACACGCATTACTCCCTGAATGGGCAGAGGTCTGTGAAACTGCTGATTCATGAACATCTCTGCCATCTGTGGCCTCTTCAAATGAGAGCTCACCCTGACCCAAGGATGATTTACTTTTCTTGGCTTTTCATCTCAGTAAACTGATTCTGTCTCCATTCCCTCAGACTTCGAGGGATTTGGGTAAAAACAAATATTATTGAATCTCTTGAAGCTGCTGAGTTAACTCTGAGCAGTTGAGCATTCAAGGCTCTGACAGGGAAGAGAAAAATGGCAAGAGTTAGTTCTGGGAATGACTTCTCCCAAGCCTCGTACTCCGGCATTTTTTTCAAACCTACCAGTCTCATTTGCCAAGTCACAGTTTGGAGACCACCGAAGACAGGAAACACTCTGCCATCCAGCACCTGGAGCTGGGTCTGAAAGGGGATTACAAACATGTTAAGTTGCTGGGCACCGCCACACGTGTCCATTCCACATAGGATACAGACACCTTGCCTCATCACCAAAGAAGCTTAGTTTCCTTCTTCCACACTCCAGTCGCCACCACGATGTACCTGCCTGCTTTTCGCAGCTGTCTTCGGCTGTTGTCCTATTTCACTTCCTTCCTCTCTTTTTGCTCCCTGCTCTATCTGTTGCTGCCAATCCACTTTCCCATTAATGGTCACGGTCTCACCAAGCAGGGCGAAGCTGTGGTCAGTAAGGTCTCCTGTCAGGGCATGTTATAGAACTCTATTACAGCCAAGCAGCTGCCCCCTTTTTCCCCCCAGCTATGTCTTCCTACTTGTGAAACCATCCCCTCAGAACCAGAAGAACCCGCTCCAGAGGAAGGTGCCTGAGTGGGGCCCTGAAACTCAGTTATTAGAGCTGACACTGAAGTCCAGAGGTGCTCGGCTGCACCACCCACAAACGTCATGAGAGTGGAAGGTGCTGTGCATGCCTCAGAACCAGCCCTGGTGTTATCGCAGGACAGATCATAACCACCATCATAAAAGCGTGCAGTAACGTCAGTTTAATTAATGGTGAGAAGAACTAAGTCTTGCCAGGCCAGATGGCAAATTCAGAGTTTCTCACGTGATGACTGTCAAATTACTGTCTCCACAAAAGAACGTCAGAGAGCACATTTAATAAATGTTGGAAACGTTTATCAGAGCAGCAGTAGAGATCCTGGCTGATCCACTAGGATCCCTGGATGCAGATCCAAAAGCAGAGACAAGCTTCAAGGAGTTACCACCAATCAAATACCTAAAACTGGACAGTTCATAAACCTGACTTCGGAACTGAATTCCAGTTTCAGCAAGGTCCCTCCCCCTCAGTCACCTGCACTCTCTGGTCTATCTCTGATTCACATGCAAACTTTCTGCTCCCCCACCAGCCCAGCACAGCATCTCCAAGGAGCTGCATTTTTCCATTCTCATTCACAGGCACACAGAGACAGAGGGATGTCTTCTCTGAATGCCCAGAGGAGTGGGGTCTGGCAATCCAGCTTCCAGTGAGACAGCTGTACCCTGGGTTCCTCACAACACGAAACCCTGATCACTTCACTCTGAAACAACCTGCTGACCAACAGTGGGACAGGAAGCAGAAACACCCCATTACTGGGAGGCATGGTTTCATGCCAAAGGGTTTCACCCAGAATAACTGGGGGCTGGCTTTTAGACCGTCTCATGGGAAGTGAGAGATGAGCAGATTGAGGAACGCACTGAACTCAGGTCACTCACTTCCCCAGTGAATGCTCTAAAATAAATGATAGTGACTTAGAAGACTGATACCAGCCAGGAGGAGGGAGTAGCACTCTCTTATTTCAGCAGGATTGCTGGCTCTGTCCCTGGGGAGACCCTGGAAGCCCTCAGAGGATACAAGCATGAAGCATGCATGAAGTTTCTGTTTTCAGATGAGATGGCAAGGGAGCTGAGAATGGAAGGAGATTGCAGAAACAGCCGCATTTTCAGGGTGTCCTCTGGACATCAAACACTGTTTGGGAAGCCTCAGCACATCAGCTCTGCTCTTGGCTTCAGGGTGTGGCTCTTAAGGCTGCACAGCACTGCGCCCAATGCTCACATCCCTGGTGCTCCTGGGCCAGCAGTCAGCTAGCACTATGATGGGTCAGGGTAATGGGGTACCCAAAGCCACCAGAACGAGGTTCCTCCGCTCTATCCATGCTCTCTGGGTGAAAGGATGTGGTTTGCTGAAGCTTTCCAAGTCTCCAGCACATTGCCATTGACTAGCCACGGGAATTTTATCTTCTGGTGAGACCCTGGAAAACAGTTTATTCCTCCTCTGTAGAAAACAGGATAAAAACCTGAAGTGACACTTTCATACTGCAATAAAACACTCTTTCAAGCTAAATAAATTCTGCCTCATCTGGACGAAAGCGCATTGTACTTCCATGGTCTTATGTGTTACCCTGCAGTACTAACATGAAAACAAGCCTTTCACACAAAGCAATCAGGGAAATGTATATCAAGCGTTGGCTGGAAGTTTAATGTACAGAATTTTTCAGGTCTGCCATGAAAAAAGCAACATCATACAACTTTTACAAGCTGCTTCTCTTGGCAGATAGCATTGCCATTCTCAGTTCAACTCAAAAGGCTGAAGTGACCGATACCACTCAGCTAAAAGCAAACCCCTGCCATTGCTGCAGCCACTGCGGAGTTCTGCTTTCATGCTGCTGTTAGCAAAGGGAGTTTCAGAAGAATTTTGGATTGGCTTGGAAACAAGTCTAGCAGGGTGCTACAAATAGAAATAGCAGAAGAAGGTAGCAGAGTAAAAATACGCAGTGCTAGATCGTGGGTACGGAAGTAGTGCAGACATGAAGCCAACGCAAGAGATGGGCACCTGCTATGATTCCCAGTGTATCCCGTTTCCAAATTCCCAACAAAGCTCCTGTTTGCACTAATCTCACCTCCCTCCTTCACACTGACACACACAGCCATTCTGGATAAAAACACAACATCTGGGTGCCTACAGCAAGGCGTTGCTCACACACCCAATAGCCTGGTTATTTTCCAAGGTGCAGACCACGTCCAGTTCCTACTGACTCCTGCAGGATTCGTCAGCCTCATTTAGGCATTTAAATATGGATTTAGGAGCCTAACTTTTGGCACTGGGGGTGGAAAACTCTAGCCAATAAGGCTGCACAATCCTATTACCACGACGGCTTGGAAATGTGAGAACTCAGCAGTTTGGAATAAGGCGCCACATTAAAAATAGATTAAACTGAAAACAGCCCATGCAGCCTCCGGCGCCTCGGACAAGTGTCTGCCAGCTGAGATGCCTCGCAGGTAACTGTTCGTGAGTGAATCAGGTGCTGGCTGGAGGTGCCCACAGCTGCCTCGAGACACAGACAGATTTTTATTCCAGAGACACTGTTTTTTTCTAGCACCATATGAAACTCAGCAGCCCTAACCCTGCGGGGATCCGTGTAAACCTCCAGCTTGCTCTGGTTCCCATGGCACTCACATCCACCAGTCTCACTTTGAATTTCAGGCTCACAAATCCCCATTCTCAGCCTACAGATAAAGGCTGCCAAGCCAGTGCTCCAGCAATGGAGCAGGACTGTTTCCCTTCCTTGTGACCCTGAAGGAGCAGTGGTGGAGCCAGGCTGCCCTGTTGTGACGCGGACAGCGTGACAGCACACAGCGCAAGGTGCTGGGAGGACTTGTTTCCTGGCCCGCTGGCAGCCTGAGGGTGAAACAGGGAGAGCTTGTCTCTGTGCCTGGTGGCTTCCTGCTGGCCAGGGACAAAAGTCACTTGTCCCTTTGGTTCCCCAAGACCCACCCAGCATGACCGCAGAGATCTGACCTGCCGACAGGCACTCATGGCAGCGGTGGGGTTGCATTTCAGAGGAATTTCATTTGCATTTCATTCCCAGAGGAACATAATGCTTTTATGCTTAATATATATGCTGTCATATTCTATTATATCTTTTCTTTGGAAGTAACTTCATAAAAGACCAAAACAAAACAGAGACCCAAACCCCAAAATCCAACAAGCAAAGCGAGCTGAGGACTGCTGCAGACATCACCAATGAATTACTGCCCCTCCAGCTGACAGAGAGTCTAGAGAAGCCGTGGCCTTGCCAGCTTCACAAGAGCCATCCGCCATGCCCTGGCGGTTACTGGTCACTAACAGCACTTCTCTGGATTTCTGCTCTTTCTCTTCTCCATTCCCATGATGTGGTGAGGCCCTTGATAGCGGCTTTTGCTGCCTCATCAGCATTTGTGGCATAAAAAGTTTGTGACAACAGAGCAAACCTTTGGATTCCACAGCTGGCTGCCTGAGCACAGAAATGACCGAGCACGACCCCAGCTCCTGGCTGTCCTCCCCCACAGTCAGCCCTGCCATGCCTGATCCATGCAGAGGTCCCAGACTGACAGCAAGGAGCACGGCCTCACAGCCGTGAGGACAGGCAAAGGACCGGCTTGGAGTACACTGGCTGTATCTGCATGTGTCTCAATGAGCTGCAGTAACATCACAGACATACTCCATCCAATTTCATCTTCAGCTGAGTACAGTAACTCACTGAATACTGCAATACACTTGACAGATTAAGAAACCTTTTGCGTTTTATTATGGTTAATTTCCTGTATATCTCTCTGCAGTTTATTTTCCCTGCAGGACTGTTTGGGAATGCCTTACAATAACAGGACCAACAGTACGTACCAGGTGTGTGAATGAGTAACTGCCCACAATAAAAGCTCTGCCAAAACTCCGGGGGATTTCAGAGCATTCTATTTCTGTAGATACAGGACGTCTGAACACACTGCCTGGTTTTCAGTGGAATAAATAAAAACAGATGATTGACAGATGGGGATCTATCTCCTCCAAGCCTTAGGGTTTAGAAAGAGCTCCCCTACTCCCCCAGTCTACATACAACCTACATATTTCGAGATCCAGAAGGCACCTTTTTTCATATGTAACTCTAAAAATTTACACTACGCTTTATAATCCTAAAATACCTCCATGGCACAAAGCCACGTTTGCAATACGTGGGTGGAAAAGCTGTCAGCATAGCGGAAAAAGAAATATTCTGCTGAAACTCCAAACTTTGCAGAAACAGCTGAGTCACTCGTTTGCAGTTAAGGTAGCCTGGGCTTGTTGCCCTCTGTGACTGTTTGGTGCCTGGCACACACAACCAGCCCCTGCCTGCCAGCACCCGGCACACCTGGGATGAGAGTGCTCCCCTCACAGGTGTTTCTCACCACCCACTAGTAGCAATTGTGTGATGCTGACCAGCTGGAGGCTGGAGCCCCAGGGTATCCGCAGCACTGCACCGAGATGCATGCTGCCCAATTCACAGCCATCAGCTCAGCCCTGCTAGCAGGACGACACGCAGCAGTATCGACAACTTACAACCTGACTACAGTTCTCAAGGCAAACGATGTCCCCCCAGGCTCATGAGAATCAGTATGTTTTTATTAAAGAGCACGAATATAATGAAAAACTTGAAAACCTCACTCAAGTGCACTAAGCTAGAAGAGCAAAAGATGAAGTTGAACAAAAAGATCTCCACATTTCATTCTCTTTCATTAAGTCTCCTGATTCTTTAGTCAGTACTAGTGCCTTGGTTGGTAAGAGCGAGCTGCCCATGAGCCATTTACTAGCACATAAAATTAACGAAATTGCAAAGCTCTAGCAGCCGTAACTGCCAACAGATTATAGACTCTACTAATGCAGTCATACGTGAAATCTAGAAAGTTGCTTACAGGGCAAGTTTGCTACTCTAAGATCAGAAGTAGCTTTGCATTTTCAACTCTAACTAACAAATTGTCTATAAAAGCTGATGTGCCACACTTTGGTGGTACGTGCCGGCAGCTGCACATGTTGGTGGGGGTACAGCCCACACTGGACATCACAAACAGCTGCCCAGGACGTGCACACAGCCCAGACATGAACTGTATGCTTGCCCTGCTCTCCCCTATCACACTGGCATTCTGGGACGTATGTGGGTGATGGAAGAAATGCAGGGAAGGATTCCCCTATGTTTCAAAATTTTCTGTAACTTTTCTGGTCGCTCTAGTGTTTCACAGAACCCAGCAGTCCTCCCAGCAAGAGAGCTTTGCTTTTCACGGGAAATGACTCCGACTGGGGCGAAAAACACGCTTTTCTAAATAAACAGATGATGTTATATAGCATGAAAGCTAACGAAATAGCAACCTCAGCATGCCTACTGCCTGCCTGCCATCACACTGCACCCATCAGGCTCTGGCTGGAGCCCTATGCAAGTGCTGGGTCTTCAAACAGAAGCTGTTGTACATCTCGCTGTCCCCTGGCCTGGATCCCCCTCCTTTGGAGCCTTGCTCCCATTCCAGCTAGGCCTGCTGCCAGCAGCATCAACTCTGAATCTTCTCGCCCCTCCACCTCAACAGCTGCTGTCTGCCTTTTCTCTTTTCTAACCTCCCCTCGGTATATCCCATTTTCTTCTGAACACTGCAGGTCGCAGGCCAGAGCCGGCAGCACAGCTCCCACCTCAGCCCCACCACGGCCCACAGAGCCAGCAGCACCAAGAGCACCAAGAGCTCCTCCCCAGCAGCAGCACGCCCAGGGAGCGCTCCCTCAGTAACCAGCAGCGCGTAGTGACGGCATGAGAGGACAACTGCAATCCACAGGGAAGGCGTCCGGCACTGCAGTGTGCAAGCCTTCAAGGAACACCCTCAGTGACAAGCAGGGAACACAGATACCAAAATACCTACTGCTCACATGAGCCCTAAAACATTCGCATTATTTGATTTTTTTCCTACAGCTGCAGAAAGAGAAGAGCAAACATCACCTGCTGCAAAAAGCATACAAAAACCCTCAGCGTGGCCCACGAGCTCTTGCAGGGCTAACTCAGGTCACAGACGGAGCACTGCAGACATGCCCAGCTCCTGCATAGCACTGCCTACACCAACAAGATCACCAAACTTCTGTCACTGTTTATAATTTTAAGGAAATCGTTCACACACACACAAGCATTAAAAAGCTATTACGTTACTGGTAGGTAAAAAATTCCAATTTCCAACGCCATTCAACCATCAAATTACAAAAGATAACCAAAAGCACAAATGGCACCCACAGATTACAGAATGACCCACACATTGTTACAGCTCTCATGAAATATTCACTTGGAATCTGCCTTAGCAAAGGCTGTTTTTAAATTAGTTGTATCGGCTCAGAATTCTTGATGCGATATTTGCAAATGTTGTTGCCCACAATGTAAACAAAGAGCAGTACAGCCAGAGCTGTATTTACATGACCTACATGTCCACTTAGAATAAAAACTTGGTGCTTTCATGTGGTAATTGCACTATGACTTTTTGAAATAAATACTGCCAATACTTTTGCTATATCCCTGCCTCACTTAGTGAGCCAAATAACCCGTTCTTAAAATCAAAACTAGGGACTCTAAGCCTTACTTCCACTGCACACAGACGCAATCCCCCCCTCACCTGTTTCACTGCAAACAAGTCAATCCTGTAACCAACTGCAGGTCAAAAACTGCTGAGGATGCCTGTATGAGAACACCAGCAGTCCCATTTTTTTGGTACTGAGCCTGAGTTCCAGTAAACAGAGGAGGGCTGCTGACTGGAACAAAGCAAGCAGCACTTGCACACAGACTTCCAGATTTTATACTACTTTATGAGAAGGCTTAATCCTAATTTGTACAACTATGAGTCAACAACAAATACTCATTTCAGCCCAACTTTACCAACAGTATTTTAACTGAACTGACACATCAATAAAAACGTGAAAATGATTTTTCTGAAGTCAGTGAGTATACGTTTCCAGGCCTCCAATCCCCACATGAAACTGAATTCTGCCCCACAAAGGAGAATTAAGACCTAACATACAATGACAACACAACAAAAACAAAACACGTATGCAACAGATGAGCATATGGCTGTACGTGAAAGCTCAGGCATGTGATACCCACTGACCAGCAGCGGCTCAGCAGCAGCCCTGATGTCCCAGTCCCTGGTTGGGGTGTATCACTGCTATTCGTATCATCCCCTCTTCCTGAGGGACAAGTCACATCTTGGAGACATTTACTCAGTAAAGACTTCCCCTGATTCCACTGAAATTCTGCCAAATAAAGTGGTCTGAATGCATAAAGCAGGGTCAATTGCTAAATGCAGCTTTCAAAAATGTAAATAGTTACAAATCACAAAAACCCTGCTGAGGAAATGAGCTGTGCTGATCCTCCCATCAGTCACTCTCTCCCCACTCTCTGCGCTCTGCACTCTGAAAGGCCGTGCTGCTGCTTACTACGGTGCATCCTCATAATTCAAAGGAGAAATCAATTCACCTGACAAAGAAAGGAATCACATCTAGACCAGGGCAGGTCTCCAAACTCCTTGCTAACTAAGAACAACTGTTAGAATAGAAGCTGCCCTTACTGCACAGAAACTACGGTGAGCGCAGGTAGCCAGAGCCAGCTCCTGCTGCATGGGCCCATCCTGTTCCCACCGCAGCCAGTGGCAGGGCTCCAACCAGCTTAATGGGAACAGCAACACGCTTTCTATCTACTTAATATAAATGAAGATACACATCTCCTCTTTGACATATTTTGGGCTCAAAGCCATTGGCTGACACTTGTTTGGTTCTCTGTATGCACATGACTCATGGGATAATATAATGCCTGATTTCCATTCTGCCAGACCTGTCTTTCTCAGTGGTTAACTATTAATTTTGGAGGCAAGATGCAATAGTGCAGTAAAATAGGATGGTGTTAAAGTAAGAAAATTGCAGTTAAATATTTAGAGTAAATGAATCAGATTTCCTTTTGTGAGGATTCCCTACCAATTACAGACTCCCAGCCACACGCTCCTGAGGACACCAGCCCATTGCTCCTGTACAGAGGGCGAGGTCACCAAGCCTCCAGCAAAGCACGGGCAGGCGGTGTGCTGTGGACATGCTGCCTTTATCCAGTTCAAGGAAAAAAACAGACTGTGGAGCTAGCCTTACAAAAATCCCTATTCCAAAGAGTTGCTTTTTATATCGGGCCCCCTACAGAGAAGCACGCCACTCTGGACATGCTCAGTAAACTACGAACACGTGCTGATTTTCCACCAAAACTGTAACACCTTTGGGGTAAGGACTGACTTCTCAGATCCAGTCAACATCTGAGGTACCAAGGACTACCCCAAATGATGCAGGGACTGCAAGAATTATCTGGACAGACATTTGCATTCTTCTGAAGTTTCCTGTGGAATAACTATTATTAAGTGTTGTGGTGGCTTTAAAATGCCATATTTCAGATAGGGCGCAGCAAAGCACACGAACAGATACTTCCATGCATGGTGTGCATTTGTACACGACTTCACCTGTATAAATGAGGATTTCATTACTGGGGAAGGAAGAGAAGCCCAGAACCAGGGACACCAATGTAAGAAAAATTATTTTGGCATAATCTATTACACCAAGAATGGGTCTGTCCCACAACCTTTTACTCAATTAAATTTTCATCGTTTTCACCTCTGAACTGGGTCACACTTGGCAAGCACACAGCGTGGAGAAGCACCTGCTTCCACCTAACAGCAAAGCAACTCCCGCTGCCCCCCCCGCCAGCAGGGAAATTACTGCAGGGTGCTCCAAAAACTGCCTCCCGACCTATAATCACTCAAAGCAGGTACAGAAGGCAAGTCTGACTGGGGTAATTCCCCTGTTGCAGTGGAAGAAAACAAATCACTGAAAAATCTTGTCGTTCCACCCCCACCCTGGCCCAGACCTCACTGCGGCCACAAGCAACCTCTCACCCCGCGCACAGTGTGACCACACAGCTGCTCTTTCTCTCCCTCCCTCCCCCCGCCCCGCTCCATCTCATCGCCCGCCCTCCGTCCCGGCCCTCGTGTCCCAGCCCAGCCTCTGGCATCGTGGCGCGGGCCGGGCGAGGAAGGCCTGCACAGCCACACTGAGACACGTGCGCCGGGAAGGGCGAGGGCCGACAGCCCTACGGGGCCAGCACCGCTCGCCCTGGCGCGGTGTTAAGGCGGGAGTCTCCAGCGCCTTCTGCTGCGGGTAACGGAGCCGCCACGCGCACGGCACCGCGCAGCGTAGCACGTGGCCGGCAGCGGCACGGCTCTGCGGGGCGGGAGGAGGAACGCGACCAAACGTTCGTGTTTTTGCCCGGCACCCACAGAGCGCAGCTCTTCCCTCACAGCAACGTGAATCTAACCGAGAAGTAAAAATCCTTCATCCTGCCGCACTCCCTCCCGCGCTCCGCGCCGCCACGATGCTCGGAGTAGGCCGGGCCTTACCTTCTCTCAGCGCAGTCGGAGCGTACCCGCAGCGCGTCCCGCCAAGAGGAGCCCGAGCGCTCGGTACCGCCGGGACGGCGCGGCTCGTCCCGCACGGCTCGATGACGGCCGCCCCGCAAACACGGCGGGCTCGGCGGGCTCGGCGGGCTCGGCGCTGCCCGCGCTCCCGGCCGCCTCCCCCCCGCCTCGCGCCTGGCGTGCCGCGTGCGCCTCGGTGCTTCCCCGCGGAGCGCTTCTCCGCCCCGCTACGGCGCGCGCCCCGCCCACGTGAGGCGCCGCTCCTCGCAGCCGAGGCAGCCGAGAACCGCCGGGGCGGCGGGATCTCTCCGCCCGCGACCCCGCGCTCCACGCCGTTGGTTGTTGCTCCGGCATCGCTGTGCTTCGGGAACGGCCTTCCGCCCCGGGCTCCCCCGTGCCTGGCGCGGCCCCGCGGCCCTAGCCGACCGCACTCCCTCCGATGGCCGCCGCCGGGCGGGGCCCTGGCGCCCTATCGCAGCCGCTGCTCGCGCCGCCTCCCCTCGCGCTGCGGCCCCGACCCCGGGCGCACCGAGGCGTGGCGCAGCCGCCCTCTCGGGCCGGCGGTCGCGGCTGGCCCCGCGCCTCGCGGTAGCCGTGGCCCCACGGGGGGATCGTGTCGTGCCGAGCCCCAGAGCAGCGTCTGCTTGCCCGGCCGGGGCGAAACTCCCCGGGGGAGGGGCGGGGCCCGGCACCGCGAGCGGCCGCGCGGCGTCTCCGCGTGTCCCGACGCCATTCGCGTCCCACCCGGGCGCTCCCTCCGCCCCGGCCCCGCAGCGCCGAGCGGGATCGCGCCTGCACGCGGCACGGGGCGGACCGCCGCCTCCGGAAGGCGCCGCGAGAACGCGGCGAACGGCCCGCGGTGCCGAGAGGGGCTCGGAGCTGCCCGGCCCCGGGACAAGCAGTGGAACACTCAGCGGGCGGTGATGGCAGAGTATATGCTGTTTATTATGAATGTAACCAGGACTATCCGACAAAACTGTATATGCTGTCCCCTCCCAAATTAGAAAAAACAAAAACAAAAACAAAACACCGATGTGTGTGCATATACGTCCACGTTCCCACCCCACACGCACGCCGCACACGCGCCCCGCACGCACCCGCGCTGCCCTCCCGCTGCCCCCGGCTCTGTCCCCGGGCCCGGAGCGGGGCCTTGGCCGCCCGCAGCAGCGCAGCTCGCACTCACCCACCCACCCACACAAATAATAAAATAACGTTGCAGCACGAGGGCATAGTCTCTGTCACCAGATAAGAAAGTGGTGTGATGGCAAAGATCTAAGTAACGCAATAAAAATAGTGTAGCTAGTATACACGGAAAGGCTTTCACATTACATGAGGCACAGCTTGGGCAGACAGAGACACGGAGAAGAGCTGAATGTCCTGGGAGAAAGCAAAATACGCTGAGAGTTCGTAGTAAATACCCGCATCGATAGGTATTTATTCACTTGTGCTTCGCCATGTCGTGACATACAGTACAAGTCGCCGCCGCTCTTTCCGCCGGCGCGAGGAGCTCCGCCGGGCCGCCCTCGGCCCTACTGTCCGGCTGCCAGGCCGGGCTGTCCGCGGGCCGCGCTGTCCGCCGGTCCCGATGTCCGTCTCTCGGGCTGTCCCGTCCCTCTGCCGCCCGGGGCGGTCCGGCGCCGCTGCCGCTCCGCACCCGCCACCGTCCCCGTGCCTGCCCCGCAGCCCGCACGTCCCCACGCTCCTTCCTCGGCAGGCTGCGGGCACAGAGCTCCTACAGGCAGCTTTAAGGCACATCTGGGCTGCTCTATGTGCTTTATTACTATTACTATTATTATTGTCATTTACCCTGTGTAGACACGTGGGTTTTTTTTTTTTTTATCTCTTCCTTCCCTTCGCCTTTCTCCTTACAAAACCCACCACGTTTTTCAGCTTATTCGTGTGTCAACCCTAAGGCACCGACCTGGTAATACTACAGCTGCCTGGCTTCTGTTATTGGTCATTATTGTTGGGGAAAAAAAAAAAAAGCAAAAAAAAAAAAAAAAAAGCCCACCCCCCGCAATCTGAGCCCGCTCCGGCACCGCTCGGAGCGCACGGAGCAGCGGAAGGGCCCGGCTAGGCACAGCTGCCCATGGCCTTCACCAGCGAGCTTTCGGGCAGCTGCCTGAAGATGCCCCGAAGAGTCTCCAGCTCCCGGCTGAGCTGCTCCACCCGCTTCCGCAGCCGCTCGTTATCGGTGGTGAGCTCCAGCACCTTCTGCTGCGTCTCCACGTTGCGCTGCTTGGCCTTGTCCCGGCTCTTGCGCACCGCGATGTTGTTGCGCTCCCGGCGCACGCGGTACTCGTTGCTGTTCTTGTCCACTGTCTTTTTGGATTTGCCGCGGTGGTCGGCGGGCATCATCTTGAGGGCGCCGGGGGCGGCGGGCAGCGCACCCGGGGGGTGCGGATGGTGCGGGTGGTGCGGGCTGGGCACGGGTGTGGGGGGCGGCGTGGGGTGCCCGGGCTGCAGGTGCACGGTGGTCTGCGCGCAGTGGGCGATTTGGTACTGCAGGTGGGATGGGTGCTGCTGCGGGTGCGGGTAGAGGGCCGCCAGGGCCGCCGCCTTCACCTCCTCCTCCTCGCGGGGCTCCTGCTTGATGACCAGCGGCCGCAGCCCCGGCGCGGCGATGCGCTCGTAGAGCGGGTCGAGCTTGCCGTCCATGTAGCCGGCCGCGCAGCCGAACAGCGGCTGCTGCTGCGGGTGGTGCCCCGGCGCCGAGGCGGCCGCGCCGGCCCCGTGCATGCCGTGGAAATCGAAATCCCCGGCCAGGACGGCCTTGTGCTTCTCCTGCTGCTTGCTGTGCTGGAAGAGGTCGGCCAGGAACTCGTCGTTGAAGGCGGCGGGGTCGATGTAGGCGCTGATGTCGATGGAGTGCTCGTTCTCGCAGATGTCGCCGAGCTCCGCGCCGCCCGCAGCAGGTGCCGCCGCCGAGGGAGCCTCTCTGTAGCCGTAGGCGCTGCCGGGCAGGGGAGTCTGGAGCTGGTGGTGCTGGCCGCTGCTCATCGGGGGCCGGGAATCGACCTCGTAGAAGTTGGCTTGCTCCATGAAGCACCTACAGCCTGCCGGGCATGGTGAAGGGCTCCGGCAATCCAGGGTTCGGACGGGGCGGCGGCGGCTCTGCCAAGCCCGCAGCACCCCGCACTCCCCCGGCTCGGCGCGGCTCGGCTCGGCGCGGCTCCGCTCGGCGCGCCCGGAGCCCGTCCCCCGCCCCAACCCGCCCGAGCCCCGCTCGCCGCCTGCCTGCCTTGCCCTGTTCCTAGTGGGTTGCCTCGGTCCTGCGTGCCGTATATATACACCCCCGCAGCAGGGCCGGGGATCGCCCTCTAGTGTCCTGCTGGGAACCTCTGACCACCGCGCCCCGGGTCTTAGCGCCCCGGCCCGGCCGTCCGCCCTCCCCCGGGAGCTCTGCTCTCACCGAGCCCCGCGCGGGGCCCTGCGCTCCGCCCGCCCGCCCGCTGAGCTCTGGGGGCTCGGAGCCCGGAGCGCCCGGTCCCGTGCCACCGGGAATGGTCCCGAAGTTTACCATCGCGCGCGAACTCGCGGACGCTGGGCCGGACGGGACGCTGGGCCCGCCCCTGTGGCCCGAGGCACCGTCCCAGCGGAGCTACCGGAGCTTGGCCCGGTTCGACGCGCGAGGTTCATCAGCTGAGCCCCGTGGGGACCCGCGGAGCGCGGCCCCGAGCGGCGCTAGGACCCGGCCGGGAGCGCGCCCGGTGGGGCGGGGCTGCGGGGCTCCGCGCTGCGGGACGGGGCCGGGGACAGTGCCGGGCCAGGACGCGCTGCCGCTGATCCACGGCTTCCACCGTACGCTGGCGGTGGAGGGGATGAACGCGCGGGGCTGTCCCTCCGTTCCGTCCCGTCCCGGGACGCGAATCGGGCAGGTAAATTTAATGACGGATTTCCCCAAATGCAAACACCGCAATCTCAGGCTGTGTCGAGCACGGACCGGCTCCCGAGATAAACCCCGGGAGTGCAGCAGCGTGCCGCTCGGAAGGCGAAACGCCGGGCTCAGCTCCGGGTCCCCTCTGGGCAGCCGGTGGGAGAGCCGCGGCCCGAGGAGCCCGCGTTCCCTGCCCGGGACGGATTAGGGGCACGGAACTGCCGCCTCCCCACCCGGCCGTACCTGCCGGCGCCTAGATCCGCTTGCCCCGGTTGCTCAGAAAGCAGCACAGGGGATGGAAGGACGCACCGCGGCCGGTGAAGCAGGTGCAGACAATGGCGAGAGGGAGATCGGCAGAGAAAACCCCAATGTATCTATGGCTACAGAAAGAATTGCTGCATTTCTTAGTCCTGGATGGCTGAATGAACCAGAAGCTAATGATGTCAAATTGCTTGCTCAGAATTCCTTGCAATTCACAGTGACTGGCAAAGCCTTAGGAACAAACC